AATAAAGCTGTAAACACTGTATTCACCAGACCCCAAATCAACGATAACTCTTCAGAAATACTTAAACGTCTCTCCAGCGGTGTAGGAAAAAATGTTACCTGTGACTTTGATGCTTCTTCTGCTGATTACACATTTAAATCTTAAAATTAAATAATGTTATACATAAATAAAAAAATTTAATCTTATTCTTTTAATAGTTTATATTTATTTCTTTTTTTTTAAATACAAGTTAATATAATCAAAATATAATTTTTTTTTGAATTTAGAATAACTAGTAATTATTTTTATTAAAAAATTTATGCTTTTCAATGGGTTATTTTGATGTATCTCTTACATTTTTTATTATAATTATTAAACCCAACCTCCCACATTTACAAATAAAAAAATACCATAATATTTTAAAGTAAAGTTCCCAAGTTGGTATCCTATCACATCCAAACATTAAAAGAAATTAAAGATATTCTCCTTCTGTGCAAAAGAATATGTTTATCAATTGATATACTATTTTTAAACTTTTATTTTTTTTTTTTTTTTTTTATTTCTATCATTATTTATAAATTATTTTTAGGTACTTGGGTTTGGATAAATAGCAAAAGAGAAACTACCTGAAGGACTTTGAGAGTAGCTACCTTCACAGTTTAATCGATTAACAAAGTAATACCCAGATGCAATAGTAGGGATCCAACTATTCTTGGTGTACAACCCTCCAAATTGGTAAGTCAACAGAAATTATAAATGATATAGGTTCATTATCATTGTAGTCATTGTTTTTTTATTTTTGTGTTTTTATTTTTTTATTTTTTTTTTTTAATGATTATTAAAAATTGCAATCACTTTCCATATTTAGTAAAAAAAAAAATAATTAATAAAAATAAAATAAAATAAAATAAAATAAAATAAAATAAAATAAAATAAAATATAAAAAAGTAATTTATTTCTTTACAATGATCAATTATTTTAAATATATAAAAGTAAAATTATTTGTTAAAAAAATATTTAAAGAAATATCATATATTTAACAACCAAAAAAAAACTATGTTTTTGAAAAATTTCATCAATGAAATTTTCAACTAACTCCATCAATGAATTTCATTTCTATTTGTAGTAAAAATTAAAATTTTTTTTTTTTAATTTACTTTTTTTTTTTTAATTTAAGAATTTTTTTTAATTTACATTTTTAAATTTTAGAAAATAATTTTTTAATTTTTTTTATTTATTTTTTTTTATTTATTTTTTTTTATTATTTTATATTCATTAATATATACATTATTTATATAATTTAATCAACTCATTATTTTTTATTATTGCATTCCACCCATTAATAATTTTTAATAACAATAATAGTTTTTTTGAAATAAAATAAAATCCTTACACTAAATCACATTTCACATTATCACTCTTTTTATTACAATTTAAAAAAAAATGGATTATTTAACTAATGCATTTTACAGAATAAAAAATTATTTTTTCAGTGATAACAATAACAATAATAACAATAATAACAATAATAACAATAATAACAATAATAATAACAATGATGAAAGCAACACCTGCACACAACCATCGAATTTAATAATTTCCAATGATTATAACAACAACAATAATATCAATAATAATAACAATAATAACAATAATAATAATAATAATATCAATAATATCAATAATAATAATATTAATAATAACAATAATAACATTTCCCAAAACAGTCAATCCCCACTTGACCAATGTATTAATGCCCCATCACACAATCAATCACCATCTCAACCACAAAATATAACCTCAGAATCACCATTTCATAGATCCACAGAAATTATTCCAACTTTTCCAGCAACAAGATCACCATATACCCCATCACACAATCAATCACCATCTCAACCACAAAATATAACCTCAGATTCGCCATTCCATAGATCCACCGAAATCATACCAACCTTTCCTGCAACAAGGTCACCAAACACCCAATCACAAAGTCAACTCCAATCTCAATTTTTTAATTCTTCTCAATCAAATCCCCCAATTCCACCATGGTTTGCACAATCATACCAACAAAATATAACCTCAGATTATACACCATTCCATAGATCCACTGACGTTATACCAACCTATCCAGCAACAAGATCATCATCCCAAATTAATTCAGACAAAAAGCCAGAATCAAGCAATCTTTCTACAGTTGCATCAACTGGCAATCCAATGAAAAAGAGACCATTGGAAGAAGATGATATATCAAATGAAAGTGATAGAAAAATTAACAAAAAAAAAAAACTCGATGAAGAGAGTTTAAAAAAAGATAATGATTGTGCTAAAATGGAAAAATTAAAAAAAGAAAAAGAAGAAAAAGAAAAATTAGAAAAAATTCATTGTAATATTTGCATAGATCAAATAGAGACCATAAAAAAAGCAACAATTGATTGCAATCATAAATTTTGCTTTGATTGTATATTAGAATGGTCAGATCAAGCTAACACCTGCCCAACATGTAGAAAAAGATTTTATAATATAAAAGAAAGTAATTTACACATTCATATTTATTTATAAAAAATAAAACATATTAATTTATTTCAATTATTAATAATTTTCAGAGAGACAATTATGTTGAAGGTTTAGTAAACAGTGCCAATGTCCCATATAGAGTTCAAGGAGAAGATAGATGGCCAAATTATTACAGTACACTCCAAGAATTAATCCATGAAGCCGCTCAACTCCCACCAATTACATACCCTTTTCCTTACAATTCTTATCCTGGCTTATATAATGAAGATCACCCAGGAAATGGCGATGAAGATAGCAATGAAGAAGAAGATGATGATAAGGAAGATAACGAAGAAGATGACGAAGAAGATGATAAAGAAGATAACGAAAAAGATGACGAAGAAGATGACGAAGAAGATGACATGGATCTCTCAACTTAATATTGAAATTTGAAGGCGATTAAATTAATAGTTTTACATAACTCATTCAAAGTTTCTTTAAGAAATAGATGAAGACTAAACTATTAACAAAATCGTTTCATTCAGGGTTTCGATTAATTTTAAGGTAACTATAATGTTAATATTTACATAATTATTATTAAATTTGAATAATAAAAAACTAATATCTAATTTTAATACTTATTTAGTTTAAGTTCATGCATTCTTTTTCAGTTTCAATACTTAATTTATTTCAAGTAATTAATCATACATTGTGGTCCATATATTCTATTAAATCAGGGTTCAGTATTTTCATTCTAATTGTAGTTTCGAGTCATTCATCAAACGCTGGGGGTTTTTAAGGTGACTCATCTAATATTGGGGATTCAATATATTCTTTTTAAAAATGGCTTTCAAGTTACTCATCATACATTGGAGTTCAATATATTCTTTTAAAATTGGGGTTATCAAGTCATCATACATTGGGGTTCAGTATATTCTTTTAAAATTGGGGTTTTCAAGTCACTCATCATATCGAGGTTCAGGATATTCTTTTAAAATTGGGGATTTCAGGTCACTCATTATAGGTTCAACATATACACTGGGGTTGTTTTTCAAATATTTTATCATAAATTGTGGGTTTATCAAGTTATTCAAACGCTGTGGTTTTTTCAAATCGTGTATCATACATTGGGGTTTTAATTTATTCTTTTTAATTGGGTATTTTATGTTATTTTATCAAGCATTGAGGGTTTTTCAAGTCACCCATTATTTGTGGTTTTTAGGTCTTTCATCATTCATTGGGGTATTTGTACTTTAAAGGTATTTATAAAGTTAATATTTATAACTATTATTATATTTGAATATAAAAGATACTAATATTTAATTTTAAAAATTATAAGATTTAAATTCTTTTTATTTCAACTTTATATGTATATAGTGTAAATAAAAAATAATAATAATAGATAATAATAATTATCATCAATTTTATCACATATTATTAATATATAGAATTAAAAATTCTACATCTCTAGTTAATTTTCTATTCATTATCAAAATAAAGATATTTAATTTTAAAATTTTAAAATTTTTTAATAATATAAATTTTTATTGTTTTTTATTATTTTAAAAACCATGGTAAATTTTTTCCATTTTGTGAAACTTGGTGAATAAATTGACTTAAAGTTGCTGTTATTGTGGTTGTAATTGTATAAAATAAAAAGTCAATTATTGTAATTTATTATCATTATTATTTATTATTTCTATTATTATTTATAATTATATATATATTTAAAACTCTAAAGCATTTTAATATGACCTATAGTTTGAAACAAATCTCTAGTGCAATACTACCACCCTGATACCACGATTGACTCTGATACTAATCCACTACCACTGCCTCTGTAATAGTATAACTCTTGTAGAAAATGAGTTAACTACGATTCTCTGTATGTGATATGTGCAAAGTTACTGTGAGTCATATGTTTTTGAAATCTTTTCCATTAACCAAATATATTTAATGTGTACTGACGGATCCTTTTTTAAAATTTTTTTGTTGAATATATAAAAGTAATTATTATTATTATAAAAGTACATTCATTAAATGATGATAAATTTATTAAAAAAAAAAAATTTTAAAATTAATTTTTTGATTTTTTTTTAATAATTTTCTAAAAATGGTACTGCACCACCATAAACATTATTTTATTATAAACTAAATAAAAACAAAAATATAATAACTATATTTATATATTATAATGTCCTTCATTAATATATTAAGAGAAATAAAAAGAAACACCAGGTTAGATAAATAATTAGAGAGCTATTTCTAAACAATTGTTCAAATTAAAATAAAATACAATCACTAAATTAATACACATAGACATATCACCATTAAATAAAGCATACCAAAAGTGATGCAGTTTTAAAAGATAAAGAATGTTATTTAGCTTTTCAATGAATATATATATTCCCAAACATTAGCAAAGACCCACCATCAAACCAATTGATTTATGAACAGTCTTCAAGAAAGAATAAATATTGTAAAGTATGCAACTACGATATCAAATATTAGTTTGTTTTTCAATAAAAATTTTGTAAATAAAAAAATCTGAATTTAGGTAAAATCAACTCAGAAAAAGAAGACATTTATAAAAGAGAAATTGAATGAGGTTCCAAAATGTATAAATTCAAGCTTATTTTAAAGATTATCAAAGAAAAGTTTTTAGAATATTGGTCTATTACATTAATGCTAGATTTGGGTGTTTTTAAAACAATTATGGAAATTATAATTTATAGTAATACAAAAGGAAATATTTATGTTTTTTATTAAAATTAATTAAATTTTTTTTTTTTTATTTTCAAAATCAATTTTAAAACTCTATAAAAACTTTTTTCGAATTTATTTTTCATTAAATTCAAGTTAGAAATCCAAAGCAATTTGTGTCCAATAAAGCTTAAATTTATCACTTCCATTCAGTGTCCACCCAAGCTTAGTATTTGTTTTCTGTGCAGAAAATATTTTTATATTATTTTTTTTTATTGTTAATAATTTTTACTCCTCTTTACGTCAAGTAAATATAAAAAATGGGTAACTTTTTTTCAAAAAAGGTAATTATCTCTTATATAACATACATTATAAACAAAATAAATACTAATTATAGCTTTATTTGTATTTAGGATTCTATTTTTGAAAAAAAGGTCCGAGCTATGGAATCCAAAATTAGAAATAAGGAGACCGCAATAAATAACTCAAAAATATTTCATAATAATAATTTTAATAGAATTATTTTTTATTTTTTTATTATTGAAATATATTTAGCAGCTTTTTTACATCAAGAGTTTGCTTCAAACGAAACTTTGTCTGAAAAAGCAATTTTTCATTCTAATCAACTATTTGATGAATATCAGACATTGTTCTAGCCAAGCAACTATGGTATCATCAAATGGTTTTAGATGAAGAAATCATTTACAGGTTCCTATCCGGAAGCTTCCAAAAAACTTTAAAACAAGTTCCAATCTTATTAAATCATGTATATCCAATTATATAGTTGTGCGTTCATCTGATAGCTTTCTCGATGACCACCCAGATTTTAAGCTGCTTTTATTTTATTTTTATTTAAATTAATCAAATAAAAATAAAGATAGATTCTTTTTATAAATTTTTTTTCAATAAAAGTTTGATTTTATTTATACATTCATTCCTAATTTAAAAAGTATTTAACATTTTCTTTAATTTTGAAAAGTCATCATTAACATAAAAAACAAAAAAAGTTTAAACAAATAATATATAAAAATAAAAATAACTTATAACCTTATATATTTTTAAAGTATACTTTGATTTTTTATAAATTTTTTATTTAGTTTCATTAACGATTATTATTATATTTTATTATTAAGTTTACAATGAAATTCATTTGCTTATGGTAAGTGTCTAAAATATAGTGATACACTTAAATTGCCATTGTTCACTCTTGCATAAAAGAAACAATGAGATTAAAACCCGCAGTTCAACTTGGTGTATTTAGATATTCTCGTGAGGATGCCTAAAAAGAAATTAAATATTTATATAATTAAAGTAAAATAAAATAAAAAAGGATTTGTGTGAACTTTTTTTTTATGGAAATAAATAAAAAAAAAATAAAAAATTAAAATTTTTTTTTTATATTTTTATATTTTTTTTTTTATATTTTTATATTTTTTTTTTTATATTTTTATAATTTTTTTTTAATTAATAATATAATATATAATATATCTTATCCAAATTTTAAAAACCTATAATTATAAAATGGGTTTTAAAAATTTGAATATAGGATCATTTGTTGTAATAATATAAACTATAAATAGTGTACCAGTAATTGAAATTACCAATCCACAAAATGGTACAAGCAAAGCTGTACCATTGGAATTAAGATATGGTATTTTACCAAGAGAATCAGTATGTACAGAGAATCTTACACCTTTACCATGCCGTGAACAAAGTGGAATTGGTAAACTTTTAGCACCAAATAAACTCTATGATGTCCATTACAATTAGAAAGATTTGTAAAAATGAAGATAGCGAATGTTTAGCACCAACTTTAGAGATTGTTCAATCATTAACCATAGTGAATGACTTGAATCAACAACAATAAATGGTAGATATTTCAGTCGATCAATTACTTGGTAAAAAACATCAAGATAGCGGTTTATCAGCATGTCCTTTAGCATCAACAAGTAAAGTTTATATTCAAAAACAAGATAATTTAGAAACAAGTTTAAAGGTATCACCAGATCCAGAATCACAACAATCCAATCAACAATATTTAGTTTACGATCTTAAAAAATACAAAGAATCATTGAAACTAAAATTAAATTGGTACAGAAATTTCGATAGATCAAATAATAATAATAAAAATAATAATAATAAAAATAATAATAATAAAAATTAATTAAAAAAATTAATTTAAATTTTAAATGTGGGAATATATAAAGGGTTAAAAATAATATCATCAGTAAGCATAATTATAATCTACAGTGCAAGAAATCTTCAATTATAATTAACTAACGAAATAATTCAGAGTTCTTTTAGAACTTAGAGTTATAAAATTATTTCTAGGAATAATTATTCCTACTCTATCTATTTTTAAAAATATATTTATTAAGTAAAGACTTGACATTTATTATCTAAATTAAAAAAAAAAAAAGAAATATTTTAATAATAATAATTTTTATAAATTTCTAAAAATAGTAAATTATAATAAAAAAAAAAATATATATTTTAATCATTATAGTTTTTAAATAAATATTGGAATTTAAAAATAGTTTTAATTTTTGAATGCCAAAACTATTTTTCGTAAAAGGAACAAAAATTTAATGATTCCAATGTAAAAAATAATTCTTTTGCATAATCCATCACCAAATCATGTTGAATTTTTTTAAAATTTTAAATTTTTTGTTTTTTTTTTTTTCTTTTTTTCTTATTTTCTTTTTTTTTTTTTTTTTTTTTTTAATTTTTTCTTTTTTTTCTGGTTTCTTTGTCTCTTAATCTGCATTATTATAATAATCTCTTATATTCAAAAAAAAAAAAAAAAAAAAATTTATATATATAAAATATTATAACAACAAAGCAATTCCCTCAGTTCACTCTCCATAAATAAAATAAAAAAAAATAATTAAAAAATAAATAAAAATAAAAATTTTCACCTCTTTGGTGGTAAAAAATTATTTATAAAATTTTTTTTTTTATTTTTTTTTTTTAAAATTTTGTTTACGGCAAATTCCCAATGATAACTTTTTTTTTTTTTTATTTTTTGGTTTTAATATAAAATTATAAAACATAATATATAATCTTTTTTTTTTTTTTTTTTTTTTTTTGGGTTTTGGGTTTTGGTGTTGTTTTTGGTTTATACAATAACAATAATAATTATACACATAATCTATTTTTTTTTCTTTTCTTAATAGGTCATGTTAATTATTTAAATTTTCACTCCCTTTAATCTTAATATATATTTATTTTTTTTTTTTTCTCAATTTTATTTTTTTAATCACCCATCAAAAAAAAATAAAAATTCAATTCATATTAAAAATAAAAAAAATTTGTATAGTTTAAAAATAGTATTTATTTTAAATATATAAAAATAATAATATGGAATCAAATAAAAGTGATAAAACACCAATGCCATGGAAAAAGTTAATTGGTATTGTTTTTTTTTTTTTTTTTACTTTTTTTTTTTTTCACTGATACAAAAATCTAATATTTTTTTTATTTTTTTTTATTTATATTTTAGGTGCATATGTTTTATTATTATGTGAAGCCATTACAACAACATCATTTTTTTCATATATATCACCATTTATTATATTTTTAGGAGTAACAGACAAGAAAGAGGAAGTTGGTTTCTATGGTGGATATATTGCATCATGCTTTAGTTTAGCTCAATTTTTAAGTAGTTTTTTCTGGGGTAAAATGAGTGATAGATTCGGAAGAAAACCAATTTTAATTATAGGATCAGTTGGTTCCGTCATATCAGTATTGGGTGTCGGTATAAGTTGGTCATTACCAGTATTAATTGCATCAAGATCCATTAATGGTTTATTAAATGGTAATATTGGTGTCATTAAAACGTATATTGGTGAAACTACTACCAAAAGCAATCAAATAGAAGCATTCGGTTGGATTGGTTTAACATGGGGTTTAGGTGCTATTTTAGGTCCAACTTTAGGTGGTCTTTTAGCTGACCCTGTTAAAAACTATCCAAGTGTATTTGGTAATTCAAAATTACTCATAAAGCATCCATATATTTTACCAAATATTTTAATTGCAATCATTACATCAATCGGTTGTGCTTTTACCTATTTCTTTATGAACGAGACTTTAAATGTTAATAAATCAAAGTCAATTAGCATGTCTAATCTATCAAGCAAAACCAAATTTACAGCTTTGAAAGGAGACGATGGCGACGAATTAAAAGATCAAACAGATGATAGTACAGGTAAAAGATTAGATTTAGCAACTGGAAGATTTGAAGAAGATATCGATGAAAGAGAAATGGCTCGACTCAACAGCAGCATGTCTGATAGACTCCATCAAAGCTCATCGGAATATAAAATTCACCAACAAGAAGAGAGAGAAAGTACAACCAGTGTTATCATGGTCGATGAAAATAATGGCATGGTAGATGAAAATGAAAGTGAGGTTTTAAAGAGAAATCTTTTAGACAATACCAATGATGGTGCTAATGATCAATTAAAAAATGAAGATGAAGAATATGATTTAGCAAGAGAAAAAGCAAATTTTGAAGATATTTCATTAGAAGAACAAAATGGTAAAGGCTTTTTAAAAAAATCGTACACCCTTTTCAAAAACAAACTATTCAAGAGTGCAAGCATGGCCAATATAAAATCATCAAAGAGCTATCAACATTTAAAGGCAGTTAATAGCGATGTCGATTTAATCGAAAAAGAAATCACAGCCAAAGGAAAATCAGGTATGCTAAGTTGCTCCACTGGTGATAGCAACACCAACATATTTAAAAACAAATTAATTATGGCAACTACATTTTTATATTGCTTTGTCGGCTTTGTATTCACTATGTGGGATGAAACTTTTCCAATTTGGGCAATGTCCCCAATTGACAAAGGTGGTCTCGGAATGGAGAGTAAAGCTGTCGGTGTTTGTGGTGCCATTGGTGGTGTTTCTGTAGTATTGGTTCAAGTCTTTATCATCAAACCAACCACTAGAAAGCTTGGTATCATTACAACATTTGGCGTTGGTAATTTTTTGGCTATCTTCTCTTTCTTCTCATTCCCATTATTAAGTTTTGCTGCTCCTTTACAATCCAAAGGTACTGCTAACTTTATTACCTTTTGGGTTTTTGTCTCAATAGTCCTAGTTGTAAGAAATATTTCTGCTCAATTTGTTTTTACACCAATTATGACTTTAATTAATAATAGTGCTATTTCAACATTAAGAGGTAGTGCAAATGGGTATGTATTTTATTACTAAAAAGATCAATTATAAAATATTAATTAATTATTTTTTTTCAAATTTAAACAGTTGGGGTCAAAGTTTAGTTGCATTAACCAGAACCATTGCACCAACCTTGGCATCTATACTTTTATCTTGGAGTCTTACAAATCACCTTAGTTTCCCACTCAACCATTTCTTTGTCTTTATAATTATGAGTTTATGCTCAATTTTACCATTTGTAGTTTCGAAATTCCTTCCATCATCATTAAATGCTCCAATCGAAGAGGAAGAAACCAATTGTGATGACGAAATGCAAATACCAATGTTTGAATAATTGCTAATATTACAATATTAAATAAATAAATAATAAATAATAAAAAATATAATAAATAATAAATTTTATTTGTTTTTTTTTTTTAAAAAAAAAAAAAACTTTTTAAAAAATAATGCTAAATGTAATATCTACAAAATTATTTATTATTTGCATAGAAATAAACCCAATGTTTTTTTTTTTTATATATTTTTTTATAAATTTTTTTTTTATTTATATATAATTTTATTGTATCAAGTTTATTTTTATTATTGCTATTGTTTTTATTATTACTGCTATTATTTATATAATTATTAACCCTAAATTTAGAAGAACATAACTTCGCCTTCTGAACTGATGTGTTTTAATTTGAAAACTTGACCGCATTCTAAACAGATGGTTGGTTTCTTTTGACCAAGGTTGTGGAAGAGAACATCGTGTTCTTCACCATCACCACCTTCACAGGCAATAATTCTGCTGTTATAAATTGATTCAACAATAACTGGGGTTTTTAAGGTACCAAATGGACCAGTTAAAACTTCATGACCAAAATCGTCTATGTATAGAAAAAAAAAAAAATTAGTATTGATATTAATTTTCATATTAAAAATAATTTGGGTTGTAAAAAAATTGGTTTTATTATTGCAAACTAAAATATTTTACTATTATTAATATTAATATTATATATAAACTATAATTTCTTCTTTTTTTGTTGTAATAATACTAAAACAATATAATTTTTTTTTTTTTTTTTTATTTTCCGTAAATTTGTGTGTGATAATGAAAAAATGGCTGTTGTCGCATTATTATTGAATAATTTGTAATTTGTACATATAAAAATTTCATATTTTTTATAAATCTAACTGAAGGCTAATTTTATTTATTTATTTTTGATGCATATGATTTTATTTATTTTATATGATCGTTTACCTCTCTTTAAATTTCTTCTAACATAATTCATTTCAGAAAGATCAATGAATGAATCTCTGGCTGGTTTATGGAAGAATTCCATTGAATGTGATGGAGTGACGAGTTCCTTTAATAATTTAACGAATTTGGACATTGTTGTATTATGTTTCTATATAAATAATATAATATATTGACAATCAAAAAAAATAAAAAAATTTAAAAAATTTTTGAAAAATTTTTTAAAAAAAAACAAAAATTTTTAAAAAAAAAAAAAAAATAAAAAAAATTTTTTTTTAATTTTTTTTTTTTTATTCTGCGCTCTATGAATTTCATTTTTCCACACACAATGTTTTTGATTGTATTGGAAAATCAGAGAAATTTTTGTATTTATTAAATATTTCCTTTTTTTTTTTTTTTCTTTTTTTTTTTTTTTTTAATATAAAACTAACTAAAAAATAAAATCAAAAAATCTATAATAGTACATAAATATTCATTCATTTTTTTTTTTGTTTTTCCTAAAATGTACTTTTTCTTTTATTTATTTAAATAAATAACCCTAAATTTTTATAATAAAAAAAAAAAGGAAAAAGTATTATTTATTTACAATAAAATATATAATATATTGTCCCTAAACAAAAAAATAATTAATGTAAATTTTTTTATTATTTTTAAAAAAAAATAAATTAAAAAAAAAAAAAAAAACAGGGCAGTTAAACTTTTTTTTTTTTTTTTTTTTTTTTTTTTCAATATAAAAAACGAATAAAAAATACTAATTATAATTATTATTTATCCATAATATTATAAATAGATAATTAAATATTAATAAAACTAAAATATAAAATATCACACCAATAAAAAAAAATTAATTTTTTTTTTTCAATAATTTACCAAATGATAATATCACTCTTTTTAAAATAAATACCAAATAATATAAATTTTTATAAATATTAAAATGGCAAAAGCAGATATTTCAATTTTGGTTTTAAAAGAAATGAGAGAGGGCGTTTCAGTATCGCAATTGGCAAGAAAATATAAAATCAATGAAACTACCATTCGAAGGTGGAATAAAAAACCAATGGATATTGATTCAATTAAAGAAAGGGCAAAAAAACAGGGTAGAAAAAAGAAAATAGATGATAGATCCGAGCAAGAGATCATCCAATGGATAAGAAATGGTGATCACCAAATGGTTTTTAAAAAAAATAAAGCAAATAATAATAATAGTGATAACAATAGTAATAGTAATGATAATAATAGCAGTGATGATTTTAATAATGACGAAGAGGTAGAAAATAATGTTGAAAATGTAAATATAGAAAGCCAACAACATGAAGATACTACTCAAGAAGAAAATGTAAATAATAATGTAAATAATAATAATGATGGTGATAGTGGCGAAAATAATTATAATAATAGTAATAGTTTAAATAATAATTTAAATAATAATAATGACAATGATAGTTGTAATAATAATAATAATAATAGTAATAATAATAATGATAGTGATAATAGCAATGATAGTTTTAATAATAAAGAAAATCAAGAAAATTTAAATATTAATCAAGAAAATGAAAATGAAAATGATGAGATTATTGGTTATACTGATGAAGATAATAGCAACAACAATTATAATGAAGAGGAGGAAGAGGATGCTGGTGACGAAAACAATGAAACAAAAAATGGTATTAGCTTTAAAAAAGAGAATTATGAATATTATATAGTAGAATCAACCTTAAATAACTCAACCCCACTTACATTTGAGCTTATTCAAAGATATATTTCAATAAAGCATAAAATGGAAACAACTTATCATTATATTTCGCAATTATTAAAAAGATATCGTGTAAAGGTAATCAAAAGAAGAAAGTTATTACAATCTTTAAAACAAACCTCATCACCCAACACACCAAATATATCTGAAAAAGCAAATATAGATTTAACAACAAAGAAACCTGATCGAAAGAAAAATGATTTTTCAATATTTAGGGATTATTCGTATCCCAGACTTACATCAGATCAAGAGGATACTCAATCTACAGAAAAAGGAGGTCAGAAGAAAAAGAGATCAAGTAAAACCATTGGAATTAATAGCGATAAAAATAAGAGACCACGGTCAGATAGTGATAGCCAACAACAAATACAGCTTGATCAACATCAACAATATCAAGAGGCAGAGCAAGAGTATTATGGCGAAGAGGTTGAATATTCAGAACAACATGAAGGATTTGATCCAAGTATTCATTATCATGATCATCACCACCACGAAGATCATCATCACGATCATAATCATGACCACTGCCATTATGAAAATCAACAGCATTACATGGAGTTTCATCATCACGACGACCATCATGGGTTTGCAGTTCAACCATATGACCACTATCATTATCATGGTTCAGGTTCAGGCTCTAGTGTAAATAGTAACAATGGTAATAACAATAGCAATGGTGAATGTGAGCCTGTATCATATCAAGTAGAACCAAGCCATATTCACGAACATCACCATCATGAGGAGTACCAACACGAGGTTATTGTAGAGGGCGAGCATCACCACACTATAGAAGTTCACGATCATCTCATAGAGGAGCAAACAGAACAACAAGAGCAGCATTATGAAGAGGTCTTGGATCATGTAGTTGAACCTTATCATATTCAAACGGATGAAATTGATCCAATATTGCACCATCAACCAATGGAGCATGTTGAAGAGCATATTGTGGAAAATGATTATTCAAATATTCAAATCCAACTTCAAGTTCCATTAGACTCACAACAAATAATTGAAGACGATCAATCACAAATAAACCAAATTATTGTCACACATCATAGTGACCATCAACAGGAAATGATTGAAGAGGATGGTCATCATATTGAAATGCATCAAACCATTTCTCATCACGAAATCGAACACAACGAAAATAAAACACAGATAATAATGGGAGACACAAACCATATTGAACACTTGGAAGCATGCACAGAGCATCTTCAAGAAAGCATCAATTCACATTCAATAATAGAGGGTGAACAATAACAGAAAATGAAAAACCGATTACCAATTTTAGAAATATTTTAAAATTTTTTTTTTTGTACTTTTTTTTTTTTTTTTTTTAAAAATAATAAATAATAAATTCAATGTATTAAATCAGTTTGAAAAATCTTTATTATATCCCTAATTAATTATGTTAAAAGATATAGAAATAATTCTTTTTTTTTTTTTATTTTTTTTATATTTTTTTTCTCAATTTAGTTTTTTTTATTTTTTTTTTATTTTTTTTTTTTTAAAATTTTTTATTATTTTTTTTCATTGATTATTATTTATTTTTTATTTTTAAATTAAAAAACACAAATCAAATTTAATTATTTGATTATTTTTATACTTGTATATATATATTAAATCAATAACTCTTTTATTAATCATAAAATAAATTATAAAATAAAATAAAATAAAATAAAATGGTAAATATTATAATTTTAAATAAAATATAAATAAATACATATTTTAATAAAATTATTATATAGTCAGCATTTGAGGATTTAGGTGTTTTACCAGAAATTATTAAAGCAATAGAAGAGTTAGATTGGTTATTACCAACACCGATTCAAAGTGAAGCAATTCCATTAATTTTAGGTGGTGGTGATATTTTAGCAGCAGCAGAAACAGGTTCAGGTAAAACCGGTGCATTCGCATTACCAATTTTACAAATTACATACGAAACATTAAATAATAAAGCAGATATACCAGTTCTTCCAGAAGATCAGTCATCAAATGAATCAAAAGATAATGGTATTGAATGGGACCAATTAAATAGAGATAGAGAGTTAGCAGTTGATGGATTGGTTTGTCAAGCACGTTCTGCAGCATGGAATGGTATTAGAGCTACCAAAGGTATTAGTTCAGGTAAATTTTATTATGAAGCTATTATTAGAGATGAGGGTTTATGTAGAGTCGGTTGGGCATTAAGCAAAGCAACAAGAAATATAGGTACAGATAAATTTTCATGGGGATATGGTGGCACAGGTAAAAAATCGCATCAAGGTACGTTTGCAGATTACGGTAAACCATTTGGAAATAATGATTGTATTGGCTGCTATATAAATTTCGATGATGAGGTAATGGGTTATACAAAGAATGGCGAAGACTTTGGTGAGGCTTTTACCTTCAATTCAAAAGCAGGCATCTTTTATCCAGCATTGGTTTTAAAGAATGCTGAAATAGCTTTTAATTTTGGTAAAGATCCAATGAAGCATCAATTGAAGGGTTATAAACCATTAATCGAAGCCGAGTTATTAGCCGATCAAGCATCAGCACCAGCACCAGAACCATCAAATAATAAAAATATTAAAAAATCAAATAAAAAAGAAAAAGAAGATAAATCAACAAATACACAATCAGATAAGCCACGTAAACCATTATCATTAATTATTGAACCCACCAGAGAGTTAGCAGATCAAACATATAGTGCAATTTTAAATTTTTCAAAATATTTAGACAATCCAAATATTCAAGTATCGTTGTGTATTGGTGGTGAAAAATCATTGGGTGGTCGTAATAAAATAGAGGGCGATATTATTATCGGTACACCAGGTAGATTAGAATCGTTGGTTAAAGATGGATCCATCGATCTTAGTTCAATTAGGTTCTTTGTTTTGGATGAGGCTGATCAATTAATCGAAGATAATTTATCAATCGTTAATTATATCTACAACAAACTACCAATTGGCCAAAATCTTCAAATATTATTCTTTTCAGCTACACTCCATTCAAATAAAGTCATTAAATTCTCTGAACAAATAACAAAGAATCCAACATGGGTCGATTTAAAGGGTAAAGATTTTATACCTGATTTAATTACCCATGCCTATATAAAGGCTGATCCATCAAAATATGAAACCTTATGGAGAGATTCAGAAAACCCACTTCGTATTCGTACAGATGGTGTACATGCAATGGATGTAACTAAATTTGGTAAACTTAAAGAACCAGAACAAAAATCCGAAGCTATCAAACTCTTAAAGGCCCAGTTACTCTTAAAGTGTATTCAATCATTCAAAATGGATCAAGCTATTATCTTTGCACGTACTAGAGTTGATTGTGATTGCATTCATAACTTTTTAAAAGAGGCAGGTGGTGAAAGTACCAAGTCAGGATTAGAGGGCGAGTATTCATCCACAGTGCTTCATGGTGATGTTAATAAGGCTCGTAAAGAAAATTTAGAGAAATTTAAGAATGGTGAAGTTCGTTTTTTAATTTGTACAGATGTAGCAGCTAGAGGTATCGATATTAGAGGATTACCATTCATGATTAATTACACATTACCAGCATCATTCGAGGATTATATCCATAGGGTCGGCAGAGTCGGTAGAGCTGATCGTATCGGTCTAGCAATTTCATTAGTAGGTAGTGATCAAGAAAAGGTTTGGTATCACACTTGTCGTGACAAAGGTAGAGGTTGTCATAATACTAAATTAACTGAAAATGGTGGTTGTTGCATTTGGTACGATGAGCCAGAGCTTTTCCATCCAATTCAAGAGTCAATTGGTCCAGTCGAATTAAATGATCAATTCCAATTACCTCAAGATATGAATTTAACTTTTGGTGCCAGTAGTAATAAATCTTTGGTTTTAGATTACCAACCACACACCGAAGAATTATCATCAAGAGTTGAACAACTATCTCAATTAGAACAAACTATTCAAAGAGATTATTTATCTTTACCAATTCGTATAACAGAAATTGTAAATAATAATAATAATAAAATGAAATCTTAATAATAAAATAATAATATTTTTTAAAACAAATATATTTATTTAAATTTATTTATTTTTTTAATTTTTATATTTATAATAAAGATATATACTAATGTGTCAAAATCAAATTGGCATATTTTCCAAATATGTATATAAAAATATTTTTAAAGTTTAATTTACTTAAAATAAATATTTCCAATAAGTATACAAAAATTATAATAAAATAATTTATTTTTTAAGACAGGTTTACTTTATCGAGGTATTTGAAATTACAATATACTAAATTCTATTAAATAAATGTGGTTGGATTGATTTTGGCATGCTTTTTGAATAGATTTTACCAAAATAAAAAATACCATTACTATTTATGGGTTTTTAAAATAAAAATAAATAAATATTTACTTTTTTAAAGTTGCGTCTTTTAGTAGATATCTTTTACTTTACCATATTTATATAAATAGTAATACACATAAACACTTTTTTTTTATAAAATAGGGGGAAAAATAAAAAAATTAAAAAAAAAAAATTGTTTTTTTTTAAATTTTTTATCATTTGGTTTTTAATATGCGACATGTTGGTAACAGGATAGTTTTTTTTTAGTATGATAAAGTAAAAGTTAATAAACAGTCAATTAGATATAATACCAATAAAAAAACAAAATAAAATTACAAACCATTATTGTTTACAGATTCCAAGTAACATCTTTTCTTTTAATTTTCTATCAAATGATACATAAATAAATTATATTTAAATAAATGGGTAGTTAAATATAAATAGGTAGGTAAAAAATTTTAAAAAATTATTATTTTTATTTTCTAATTCTTAAATTGTTTAAAAATATAAACATGATTTCTAAAGAAGTTTTTATAGACAAAAGTTATGATGTTGCCATTATAGGTATAGGTTTAAGAGCTCCAAGTGGTAATTTAACAAAATCAATTTCAAAACCAAATGAATTATGGGAGAATTTGGTAAATGGTTTCGATGGTATTGTAGAAACATCTGAAAGATGGTCTAATAACTATGGTGTCTCTGGTGATATTGCTTCTAATTATGCTGGTCTTATTCCATTGGATGAATGGAAATCATTTGATCCAGTTTTCTTTGGTATAAATCCAAGTAGTGAACATGTAAATACAATTGATCCACAGCAAAGATTGCTATTAAAGTGTACTTGGGAAGCACTCGAAGATGCTGGAATAGATCCACTTACATTAAGAGGTTCAAATACAAGCACATTTATGGGAACAACCACCAATGATTATAGCAACATCAATTTATCACCATTTGAAACTCAAAAAAACATCTTTGGAGGAACCCCTCATTCATTGGCCAATAGAATATCATACTGTTTTGATTTCCGTGGTGAATCATTCTCAGTTGATTCTGCTTGTAGTTCATCATTAAATGCAATTAATCTTGGTTATAAATCCATCAAATATGGCCATTCTGATGTTTCTGTTGTAGGTGGTGTTAATTTAATACTTGGTATGTATATAGTTATTGAAATGTTTATTTTAAATTAAAGTATTAACTATTGTTATATTAATTTTTATAGACCCAAATGTATCAAAATCATATTCTTATCTATCAATGCTAAGTCCAACTGGAAAGTGTCATTCATTCTCATCAAATGCAGATGGTTTTGTTCGTTCAGAAGGGGTTGGTGTTATAATATTAAAAAGTTTAAATAAAGCAATTAAAGATGGTAATAATGTTTATTGTGTCATTAAAGGTTCAAGTTCAAATGTAGATGGAAGTTGTGATAAATCAAACTTTTATTCACCATCAAAGCAATCTCAATATGAAAATATTAAATTAGCTATCGAATCTACCAATGGTCAAATCAATGCTTCCGATATTGACTTTGTTGAGTGTCATGGTACTGGTACACTAACTGGTGACCCAATTGAGTTGGAAGGAATTTCAAGAGTATTCAAAGACACAAATAAACAGATTTTAATTGGTTCTATTAAATCAAATATTGGCCACGGTGAGGCATCATCGGGTGTAATGGGTATAATTAAGTGTTGCACAATGTTTAAAAACAAATCATTTGTTCAAAATATAAACTATAAATCACCAAATCCAACTATAAAATTTGATGAATGGCGTTTAAAGGTAGTAACTGAACCAACTCCATTTTCTAATAAAAATACAAATATGCTTATTAATAACTTTGGTATAACTGGTAAGTGTTTAGAGATTAGGCAAAAAAAAATATGAACCACCATATTAACATTTAATTATATAATAGGATCAAATTGTTGTATTGTTTTATCAGAATACCGTCTGGATAATTATCAAAATGAAAATATTATTAATAAAAAATATTTGGTACCATTCTCATCAAATTGTTTAGCATCATTGGACAGATATGAGCAAATTATCAGTGAAAAATTAACAGAAATGGATTTTAATCAGTTTATATATAATCAAATTAAATATAAATCAACATCACTTTTTCAAAGATCAGTTATTATTGCAAGTAATTGGAAAGAGTTTAAAGATTCAAAAAATGCAATCAAATCATCAAAAGCAAACACAATTACAAATATTGCTGTTTCAAATAAGAAGCCATTTACAGTTTTTGTATTTCCTGGCCAGGGATCCCAATATAATAAAATGGCATTAGAATTATATAACAATGAACCATTCTTCAAAAAATGGGTAGATAAATTCGATACCGAGCTATTCAAATACTATGGATTTTCTGTTTTAGAAAAGTTAAGATCAATTGATGATTCGGATACTATATCAATTCATGAGCCAATTCTTGCACAACCTTCAAATGTAATGATTCAAGTATCTCTATTCGAACTTTATAAACACTGGGGTGTTATACCAGATTTAATTGTAGGACATTCTCTTGGTGAAGTTTCAGCCTCTTATTGTTCTGGTATGGTTGATTTCGAAACATTATGTTATTTTACCTATCACAGAGCTGTATCTCAAAATAAAACAAATGGCTCTGGTAAAATGTTAGCTGTTAATATTAGCCCAGAAGAATATGTTGAGACTTATTCATCAAAATATCCATCTATCGAGATTTCTTGTTTCAACTCACCATCTTCCATTGTAATTTCAGGTAAAGAACATATAATAAATGAAATTATGGCAGATTTAAAATCAAAAGATATATTTTTCGCAAAGTTAGGCTCACTCTCATCATTCCATACATCAAGTCAAATAGTAATCAAAGATGAAGTATGTTCATTAGCTATCAAATCAAAAGAACCAACAACACCAATATTTTCAACAGTTACAACACATTTATTTAATAAAACAGCACCATACAATGCAGAATATGTATTCGAAAATATTATACAACCTGTAAAATTTACTCAAACTATTTCAAATATATACCAATATATTGAAAAAAATAACTATGGAAATGAAGTTACATTTATTGAGTTAGCACCACACCCAACATTATCTTTCTATTTAAATCAAATGAAATCAACACAATCATCATATTTTAATAATGGCGAAAAAGTAACCATTCATTCACCTTTACATAAAAAGAAAAATGATTATGATGAATTCTTAAAAACAATTTCAACACTTTATGTTAATAACTCTTTTAATATTAATTTCAAATCACAATTAACTCAAAACAACAACACCCGTGTTAGTTCAAGCAATTTAAATTGTTTGCCATTATACCAATGGGATGATAAAATATATTTCAAAGAGAATTCAACATATGAAAAAATTAAAAAAGACGGGCCTTCGATTCAACTTCTTGGTAATACAAATGAATCATCAATTAAATTATATCAAACCTTTATTGATATTAAAAAGCTACCATTTCAATGGCTAAAGGGACATCAGGTAAAAGGTAAAATCTACTTCCCAGGTGCTGGATATATCACCAATTTGTTTAATATCTACCCAAACCAGGATATTACTATTAGCTCTATGGAATTTAAAGAACCTTTGATTTTAACAGATGGCTCTACTCAATGTCTACAAACAGCAATTAGTAAACTTTCAAGAAATGAATTCTATTCAAATTCAAGTTTTAAAGATCCAACTTCAAATCAATGGGTGTTATGTTCAACTAGTAATTTTAATTTATTCAAACACGGTAATGAAATCAATAAAATCAATATTGAGGAAATTAGAAAAAAGTGTTGCCATACCAAATTATCAAAATCAGAACTTTATGAATCAATTAAAATCAAAAACGACATATCATACAAAGGATTGTTCCAAGGTTCTCAAGAGTGCTATCTTGGTAGTAACTGTTCTCTATTAACCATATCATTGAATGAAATTCAAAATCAAAAAGAATTTAATCATTTACTTGACAACAAAACTATGGAGTCATTATTTAATACTACAGTATTGGATTGTTGTTTTAATGGTGTCATAGCATTGATGAAACATCAATGTCAACTTGTATTATGCAAAATTGAAGGATTGAAATACTATTCAGCAAATATACCACCATTAAATCAATATTCTCAAATCTATGTATATTCTGAAATAAAGCCAAGGATTGAAGCACTCTCACATTCAGGTTCAGTTAAAGTAATGTTAAATGATGGCACATTATTGCTTGAAATAGAAAATGTTTTTCTTAAATCATTAACACCCATAAACGATAATACATTAATTATCCCACCTCCATCAAATGAAACTTATACTCCATACCAGCAATCAAAAGATTCAATAATTGACAAACCACAATCATTCAAACATTTATATCAAATCAAAGATATAGTAATAGATGATGATAATGAACTTATATCAAAAGAATATCTATATTCATTATTTTATTATCATATTAATCAAAGATGCCCAAATATAAATTTAAAAACATTATCAACTCTGGAATTTAATCAATTTAAAGAACTATATTTTAATCATTCATCATCATTAAATGAAAGCAAGTTTTTCTTTGTTTTTGAAATTTTAAAAAAATATAATTGTCTAGATACCAAAAAACAAATAGATGAATATAGTTTTGAAAAGAATAAAAAACACTCTAAGCTTTTTGAAAAAGCAACTAAAGTCATAGCAAAACAAGTATTCCCATTAGAAAATGATGACCCATATACAGATACTCCCCAGTCATTGTTCGAAGATGGATTATTAGAAGACTTTTATAAATTTGATTGTTTTATTCGACCTAACTTTTTATCAAGTGAGGTTGTTTTAACATCAATTAAACCAATTATTAACGAAACAATGGTATTCAGAATATTGGAATTTGGGGGTGGTGTTGGCTCATTATCGATCATGGTATTGGATAAAATCAATAAACTATTAAAAGATAACCCATCATCAAATATTGACATTGAATATACCTGGAGTGATGTTTCTGCATCATTTTTTTCAATCAAAGAAAAATTTTCAAATATCAAAGGGGTAAATATAATTTATCGTACACTAGATTTAGAAAAATCTTTAAAAGAACAAAATCTTAATCCATCCTATTATGATATGGTTATAATGTCAAATGTATTGCATGTAGTAAAACAGCTAAGATTCAGTTTAAAGGAAATCTATAATATTTTAACTCCAAATGGTCAATTGGTTTTTGTAGAGGCTCCATATAAATCTTTGTATTTTGATACCATATTTGGTGTATTCACACAATGGTGGCAATCAGATAATGAATTCAGAGAAGATAGAAGCTGTATGAAACAAGACTGTTGGTATAAATTACTAGAAGAGTGTAACTATAAAGATACAATAATGTCTGGAAATGATAAAGTAATCTTTTTAATTCAAACAAGAAAACCAAGTTTAAGTGAAATGGTATTATCAAATAAAGATTCAATGAATCAAATAGCATCTAATGATAATATTATTTTATTTGGAAACAGTAGAAATGGTATTAAAATAAATGAATCCTTTAAATCAAATCAATTATTAAGTTCAAAAATTAAACAAATGGACTCTGTTGATGAATTTAATAGTTGGATTCAAAAATCAATCGGTTCAATTAAACAAGGCAAATCATTAATAATTTTTATGAAAACAATAGACCAAATAGAAATCGATAATTTTAAAGAAATAACCCTGGAATTCATCCAAATTAATCAAATTTTACTTCAACATGAAATTTCAAACTGTTTCCAACATGTTTTAATAACTCTAAATTCAACATTAAACAACTACTTAGCATCTTCAGTTATTGGTACTGCAAGATATTTAGCAGATTACCCACAGTTAAATTTATATTCATTAGATTTTGATAATATTTCAATTGAAAATGAAAATATCCTATCTTTAATTGATATTTTAATAAACCCAACATCAAATATACAAAGGGAATTTACAATTAAAAACAATACAGTATTTTATGAAAAATATAAAAAACAATCAAAAATTAATCATTCTTTCACTTCAAAATCATTTGAAACAAATAAAGATAACTTAATGGTCCAACTCAATCAAAATTTAGAATATAAAATAAAGACTAAAAAAACAGAACTAAAACCAAATGAAATTGAAGTCAATGTCAAAGGTACTGGTATCAACTATAAAGACTATTTAATGTATATTGGCAAAATATCTAATAGTGTTGATCTTAAATATGGTAAAGAAGAAGAAAATGAAAATGGATCAGGTCAATTACCAAATATTGGTAATGACTTTAGTGGTGTTATTACTCGTTGTGGAAGCGGTGTAAAGAAATTCAAAATTGGTGACGAAGTAATTGGTTTTGCTTCAAAAACAGGTGGCTCCCACATTGTAATAGATTATAGATATGCTTATTATAAGCCAGAAAATATCTCACATGTGCAATCTGCATCTATTCCATCAGTTTATGTTACATCATTACACAGCATATTTTTTATTGGTAATTTGCAACCAGATCAAGCTATTTTAATACACTCTGCAACTGGTGGTATAGGTCTTTCATCATTAGAGCTTTTAAAATGTAAACAGCATACTGGTTATATATTTTTAACAGTTGGTTCAAAAGAAAAAGAAGAGTATTTGATTGAAAAATATGGTTCATTTATTACTGGTATTTATTCATCAAGAAATAAAAACTATGTCCACCAAATTAGAAGCAAATTAAAACAGTTGGGATGTGATGAAAATCATCAAGGAGTTGATTTAGTATTAAACACATTGTCATCAGAATATATGGATTCAAACTTCCAATGTTTAAATACTTGTGGTAAAATTGTAGATCTCTCAATTACACATTTAACACCAAACGACTATATGACAAACAATCGCTTCAAATACAACTTTGGATACAATAATGTAGAAATTGTAGATTTCTCAGGACCTTTATTTAGAAGTTATTTAAAGAAATTAGTGAAAATGTTTAATTCAAATAAATTAGAGCTAATTCCAACAGTTGAATATTCAAATATAGAGTTTAAAGAAGCAATTGAATATATTAACCAAAGACAACATATTGGCAAGATTGTTGTAGATCATGATATAGATATGTTATCAAAAGTATATAATGAACTAAAACAAAATAATTCAATCATTATGAAGAATAGCTATGATATAGCAAGATTAGATATAGGTGAAAATATTTTAGTAACAGGTCAAACAGGTATCATATTAGAAATATTAAAATGGTTAGCTAAATATTCAAATAAATCCATCAAAAATATAATTATATTATCTAAATCACCTTTAAAATGGGAATTGGAATTGTTGATCAACCAAACCAAAAACCAAAAAGATAATACAATTAATTTCCACTTTCATCAAGTTGATATAGAAAAAAGTAATGATGTTCAAAAGGTATTGAATGAATTGGAAACAAATTCAAATATTAAAAATATTGACACAGTAATACATTTGGCATTTGTCAATGATATTGGAGATTTTCAAGATGTCAATATGAATCGTTTAAATGTAGCACACGGTGCAAAAACAATTGGTGCAATTAATTTACACAATGAATCAATAAAGCGTTCATGGAAATTAAAACAATTTATTTTAGCATCATCTGTAATGTCAATTATTGGTTCACATAGACAATGCTGTTATGTTAGTGCCTGTAATACAATTGACTCATTATCAAAATATAGAAAATCATTAGGATTACCATCACTATCAATAAATTTAGGTGTAATATCATCAACAGGTTTTGTTTCAAGAAATGATGCAATTAAAGAAAATTTCCAAAGCTCTGTTTTAAGGGCTTTCTCATCCCAAATGGTTTTAAGTTCATTAGATCTTTTCATTCAAAATAATAATCATTCAAACTATTGTTTATGCGATTTCAGTTTTGAAAATATAGCTCCAAATTCAAATCTTTTTAAATTTGACTATCAAATCAATATAGCAAATAAAACAAGCAGATCCAATGACAATAGTAGCAGTAGTAATGAAAAAGCACAATCTCTATTTTTAAATAAAATTTCAGAATTACTTTCAATTGATGAATCAAAAATCAATATAGAATTTCAATTAAACCAGTTAGGTCTCGATAGTATTGTTATTGTTTTATTAAAAAACTGGATAGATCTTCAATTTGGCACCAATTTAATTTCAATCCAACAATTACAAAATAATAAAATATCTGAGTCACTAGAAATTATTAAAGGTTCAATTAAAAAAAAATAAAAAAATTAAAATAAATAACTATAGTAATTTAAATAAAGTTATAATCTTTCCTTTTAAAAAAAACAATGTATCATTAAGAATCATCTTCTAAATTAAGTCATCAGACCACACAAATGTGTTTTTTTTTTTTTTTTTTTTTTTTTTTTTAAGTGAAGATGATTTTTAATGCTGTATTAAGTCATCAGTTTGTTTATTGTGTTTGTTTTTTGTTTTGGTATGTGTTTAATACTTATATGAGTTTTACCACACTGCATACAAGTTGGGCACGGTAACGTCAATTCGTATGGGATTAGCGTGTCTTTCCTTGATGTTTTTTAAACCTTTTATGTATTCTAAAGTAGCTAGCTTTGTCCATTTTGAGGTTAGATTCTTATAATCGAGTTCTTTTATTGCCTAAGGGGAGCAATGATACCAGCCAAAAAAAAAAAAAAAAAAAAAAAAATCTTCTGGGTGATTTTCGCAGAAAAACAAAAAAAAAAAATATTCAGAGCGGGAATCGAACCCACGACCTAATCCGTGTTAAGGATTCGTGATAACCAACTACACCATCCGAACATTTAGATGAAAATTAAATTTTTAAACTAAAATCTGGCATCAAAAATATTAAATTGAATTTCATAAACCTGAAAGTAAATAACTAAAAAAAATTATAAAAATAAATTAATAAAAGTCGTGTTAACCTTTGCAGTCTTCATATTGAAGGGGTAAGGCAAAAATTCATGGTTAGCAATTAATACAAAAAACTGGCATCAAATATAATTTAGATCATCAAATTAGCATTTAAACTTTTATATATAAAATTATAATAAATATTATAATATTTAAAGTTATTAAATATTATAAAATTAAATAAATAAAAAAAAATAAAAACAAAAATTTATTTTATCTATTTATTTTTTTAAAAAAAAAAAAAAATTTTTATTTATTTTTATATAAAAATATTAATAAATAAAAAATATATTAATATATTAATATATTAATATAAAATATATTAATATAAAATATATTTTTTATTTATTAATATAACTTGTAGACTTTATTGCCAAACCTTTAAACAATCAAAATCACCCGGGTAAAACGAATACACAATACAAATAAAAAACTCCCAACAAGTTTTTTAAAACACAAACCAAAACACAATAACACAAAAACAAATAAAAACTTACTGAAAAGTTTAAATATTTGTATACCAAATTAAAACACAAACCAAATATATATATATATAACACAACAAAAATAAAAAACTCTTAACAAATTTTTTATTGAAGAAAATAAAAAGCCGAGCATCTGCTAGGCTATTGAATTCCTGATAGCTTAATATTTCTTAATTAATATTTTTTTTAAAATTTTTTTATATGCAGCAATGAAATGTAAATATTTTATGGGAATAACTAAACAGTTCTAGCTATTTTTTAATTAATTTTTTTATAAAAAAGAAAAATTGTGTGTGGTGGGGTTTTAATTTAATTTTTTTAAAAAATTTTTTTTCAAAATTTTTTTTTTTTTTTTTTTTTTTTTTTTTCCAAACATTCTTTATAATTTCAAAATAACAGAAACTAATAAAAATAATTAAAAAAACTATTAAAAAAAAAAAAAAAAACCTATTAAAGGTGGAGATTATAGGGATGAGCCAATTAAAAGCAACACAAGCTTGGTATGAAAAATATAGAAGTTTTATAAAGTAGTCCACAAGAGATACTACAGCCACTCGTGCCACTAGTGCCACAGTTGATATGTAAGAGATTAAAAGAAACGAATAGACTAACTGGTAAACTCATAAAAGAAGGTTTTCATTTTATACTAATTCAGACAACAAAAAGAACAATTTTCAATCAACCAATAAACAAATATAATAAATAGATTAAATATATTAATATCTTTATCTAGAAATTTTATTAATTTTAATAAATAAAAAATTATTTTATATTTTCTATCTAGAAATTTTATATTTTTTTAAAAGGTTTAAAATTTTATTATTTATAAAATAAAAGGAATACATAAATTGTGTGACCATAATCAATTAACCCAATTGCGATAATTGTAATGATGGAAGCAATTCAAATAATATTTTTTTTATATTATAAAATTAAATAAAAATATAAGTGTGGAAAAAATTACAGAAGTTCTCTTTTTTTGCAAAGATGATTATTTTTTTATAAAAATGATAAAATTTAAATCGGTTTCAATTAATTTATTTGAATACAATTTATTTTTAGAGAAAATTTAACAATATCTTCTATGATGATGACTAATATCGATATATATATTGATAATGTTACTGTTACCATCACCCCATGGATAAAAAAACCCAAACCAATAGCCACACTCAAACCAATAGCCACACCAACATCAATAACCACACCCAAATCAACAGCGACACCCACATCAACATATTACTTGAAATACAGGTTCTAAATCACTAGATTTACAAAATAAAATAGTTTAAGTTAGTAAATTGTTTCAATTTTCTACAAGCTTGTTTTTGTTTTATGAAATTTTGCTAATTTCTTACTTGTAGGTTTTATAAATTTTATAAACAAAATTTTTATATTGTTATTTTTGATGGGACTTGTTATGTTTTATTAAAACTATTTATGTGAATGTGTTTATTGATATTTGAAAAAAAATATTATAAATTTTAAAATATATATAAAAATTATTTATTTGTATTTAAATTTTTAATTTAAAAATTTTCAAATTTTTTTTAATTTTTAATAATAAAAAAAACATTGTTTAAAAATTAAAATACCATAAATTAAAAAAAAAAACTAAAAGATAGTTTATAAAAAGAATAAAAATTAATATATTTCCATGTGGTGGTTAAGGCATACTGAGAGATGCAGTATAGATTATTAACCACTACGGGTGCTTAGTTTAGGCATGGTAGGCTCTAATATAACTAACCTCCCCGCGGTATCTTTTTTTTTTTATAAAAACAAAGGCAAAAAGTATAAAATAAATAAATAAATTAATTAATGGTATTTATACCATTTCATTATCATTAAAAATTTATTATAAAATCTTAAAATCATTTTTTTTCTTTAATTTTGGGTATTATTTTTTTTTTTTTTAAAAAAGTTTAAAAAATTATTAATCTGACTGAATAGATTTTTAAATAATAATAAATAATAATTTAATTTTATTTGATTATAATATAGAAAAATGAAATATTTCATATTAAAAAAATATTTATTTATTTGTATATTTTTAATTTTATAGAAGTTATATTATTATTAGTAAAGGGTGTATATTTATTTGATCTGCAATAGTAGCACTTGGCAAGGACTGCCTTTGGTTTAGCCCTATATTGATTTTAACTATTAATTATTATAAAATGTTTTAATATTATCTTTCTTAATAACTGAAGACTGATTATTGATTTACTGAGTATATTCTATTATTATTTTTATAAAAATAATAATAGATGACTTTAATTTAATATTTAAATATATAGTTGTAAGACCCCCAACGGATTGACCTATTGTATTCAACGATGTTAATCCAATTGAATTTGAAGTTGTTACACCTGCTTCTGATTGACTACCTCCAATTGTATTTGCTGTGGTTAATCCTGCTACAGAGTTTACACCCGAAATGAAAATACTCGATGCACCATTTGTAGTTAATTCACCTACACTTTGTCAATCCAATTGAATTTATTAAACCTGCTACTGATTGACCACCACCGATTGTATTTGAAGTTGTTAAACCTGTAACGAAATTTGCACCCGAAATTTAACCAACATTTGTATTTGAAGTTATTAATCCTGCTACTGATTGGCCACCTCCAATTGTATTTGAAGTTTTTAAACCAGTTATTAACTGACCTGTTTCAATTGAGCTTGCAGTAGTTATTAACTGGTCAGTTGTTTCTGCGACTTTGTGACTTTTTATGATAGTTATTGCTATTAATTTTGAGATTATTATTATTGATCAATAGTTGGTGGTTGGATTGGTATTATTATTACTTGTGAATAGTATAAAATCTTTTAATAGGTTCGCTGTGCATTTGGTAAACATTGGCTAAATCTTTTAATAGGTTCGCTGTGCATTTGGTAAACATTGGCTAAATCTTTATATAATTGATTAAAATCCTTTCATTCATGATATCGACGACAGCAGATCCTGTAAGGGTATTGAGTGGTTTTAATTGGTAAATCTGTCTTTTGAAAATTAATAATTTAATTTAATTGATGTTAGTAATTCTGTTTCTATTTTCTTTATTTCTTCAACAATGCCAATTTCTATATGTGTGTGTGGGATTGTTGTTGTTGTTGTTGTCGTTTTAAAATAATATATTAATTTACCTACTTTGAAAAGGGTACCCACGCTAGATGGTCTTTTCACTTGTTATCAAATGCGAAACAATTATATCTGTAAAAGAAATAAATTATATATATTAAATTATTTTATTATTTTTTTGATTTTAAAAAATTTTATTTTTTTTGAATTAAATTTATTTTTTTTGAATTAAGTTTTTTTTTTTTAAAAAAAAAAACGTCCACGGTTTTTATCATTTTTTTTTTTTTTATTTGCAAAAAAATATATATATAATTTTTTATAATAAAAAAATATATATCTACAGATAAATTCATGACAGACAACACCTTTTTTAAAATTTTAGTTTAAATAAAAAATATTAAATATTATTTAATAAAAATACAATTAAAGTATTGTATTAATGGTTTTTATTTATTATAATTAAAAATACACGATTTATATGAAGGATTTTTTTAGGATCGAGTTTTAGGAAAAAGGATCCGGATTTTCATTAGAAAATATAGGATCAATCCTAGTTAAACCTCGATCCGATACTAAAGATATTCCAACCAAAATCTAATAACATCAACAAATTAAAAAAAAATAGAAGATATCAAATTTACTCCTATCAAACCAAAAAATGAAGAGAGTGAAGAGTATGAAGAGTATGAAGAGGATGAAGGGTCATTCATTTTTGAAGATTCAATTGAAGAACAAACAAATGAAGAACATTATGAAATTTGTGAAACCTCAGAAGATGAAATGGAACAATCATATAAAAAATATGAAATATCATCATTTTCTAAAGAAGAAATCGATGGTTTGTGTAATGAAATAGATGATTATGATATTGTTTTATCAATATGTATGAGATATATTAAAGAAGAATCAAATAAATTTATAGATTTGGTAGTTTCAGCGAAGAACAAACCTGTTTCGTGCTCTTATCAATCATTTATACAAAGCTCAGAAGAAAATAAACAATTGTTTTGGATTCAAACGCAACAAAGTCAGTTCGAAGTTAAACAACTACGACAAGAGGTAGATAAGTTACAAATTTATCAAATATAGCAATTACACACTACAACAATTATATATTTAACAATCCAACAAAAATATTGGCCCCACATAGTCAAATTAAATTACAGGAACTCCAATATAATAGTTTAAATATTAATTATTATTTATATCAAAATGAAATAGAAGAAAAATACAATTTTCATTTAATTAAATTAAATCACCAAAAAAAATATTTAAAAATATATTCCAACTTTATAACTATCAAAAATGAAATTGAAATAATTGACGATGAATTATTTTTTAATTATTTTTCAACAATAATGAAATATACTTTTAAATATAAATCATTTATTCAACTCTATTCTCACAATAAAAATTATTATTTATGGAAAATTGGTGAACAATTCTTTAAATCCCTTCAAATAAAAAATAAAAAAAGCAAAGAAAGAATTAATAAATTTAACAATTTAGTACAAAATATTGGATTTGATAATATAGCTAATATTTTTATTAATTTAAAATAAAATAAAATTTTATTTAATTATTATTATAATTTTTATTATAATTACTATTATTACTTATAACAACTATTTTACAAAGTCCAGAAATTTCAAAAATCTTAAAGGGTGGAGCCAAAAATGAAAAAAAAACAAAGATGATAAGAATATTAAAGCTCAAGACAGAAATAAAATAAAATCTTACGCCAGATAATATATCAAATTTTATGACCATCACAAATAAAGAAGCTCCGGCAGAATTATTAGAATATTTAAGAAATTTTATGACCATCACAAATAAAGAAGCTCCGGGAGAATTAATAGAATATTTAAAGAAAAAAAACAGATGCAAAAGAAAAGATTCATCATTCTTGGAATAATGGTTCATTTTTTGCCCTTATAAATGAAGCAAAGAAAAACATTAGAGATTTATGGAAACCAAAAGACGGATGTTTTACAGCTTTAAGATATAATAATTATAATAATCAATCGGGATATAATAATCAACAAAGATATAATAATCAACAAAGATATAATAATGATAATCAGCAAAGATAGTACTAAATATCCAAATTACTTAAATAAATAGCAATTGCGATTGGAAAAAGAGGTTGTTCAAGATTTGGTTTTTAATAAATTAGCTTTTAAACTTACTGTTGAGGAAGCCACAAAATTTACAGAATGGTTTTTTTTGGACAGAGAATCTTTTTATTCTTATATAAAACCAAATTATATGAACAATAATGAACTATCCACTTTAGTTTTACCAAAAACACCTGTAGCTAAAGAACCACCATCAAAATCATCACAGCCAAAATCTAAAGAATCACCAAAAGCACAGTCTAAAAAATCAGAGCAAAAATTTTTGAAATCGAAAAAACGGAATAAATATTGTGACAATATTTTTTATTTTTTTTATTTTAATTTATACCAATATCTTGTAATATGATTTATTTTACGGGTCCTTATATAAATATTGAATATGTTATTCAATTCCTGAACCTTTACCATATATTCTATTTCTTTTTTCGATAATTGACTCTATTTCATCTCTTAACGGTATGTGTGTCCTCTTTCTTCTGTTGTCGAATAATACCCTGTCTTCTTCAATAAAAGGTTTGATATCATCCACCTGTACTACTCTATTACCACTTTTAATGTAAAGTAACTTTTAAAGTATAAATAAATTAATAAACAATAAAAACAGAAAAAAAACTATGATTTTTAAGTTTATTGTAAAATTGAATAAAAAGAAAATACCAATTTTCATTTTTTTTTTATTTTTTGTTTTTTTTATTTTTAAAAAAATATTTTTATTTAATTTTTTTTTTATTAAATTTTTAATATTCACATCATAAAAAAAAAATGTAAAAAGAACTTACTCAACATGACAATTATTAAATAAATATATAATCAAATAAATAAATAATCAAAATATTAAATAATTTTAGTTTTTTTTAAGCTAATTTTTTTGTTTAAATTGAACAGTTGGCATCATTTATTTTTTTTTAGAATAAATCAGATTTCAATGATTTATAAAATTAGTAATTTTCATTTTTTTTTTAATTAAAAATGTAAATTTATTAGTTCATTATCCAAATATATTAGCCACTCTTTATAATAATAAAAAAAAGTGTGGTGGGGTTATAATTTAATTTTTTTATTTGGTGTTTGTGTTTAAAAAATAAACAGATGATCACTACTTTTATGATAGCTACAGATTAAAAATTTAATAGAATGTACAAAAAAGGGAATACCGAGTTTGGATCTAATCTATTATATTTACAAAAGGAAATAATAATTAAAATGAATTAAAATTTTTTTTTTTATTTCATTTTCTAAAAAATGGGTAATTTTTTTTCAAAAAAGGTAATTATCTCTTATATAACATACATTATAAACAAAATAAATACTAATTATAGTTTTATTTAGGATTCTATTTTTGAAAAAAAAGTAGTAGCCATGGAATCCAAAATTAGTATTTTGGAGACCAGAATTAATAGTTCAAAGAACTATCATTGTAATAATTATAATAAAATTATTATTTATTTTTTTATTATTGAATTATTTTTAGCAGCTTTTTTATATGAAAAGTTTGCTTTATCAAGTGACACTTTGTCTGAAAAGGCAATTTGTTTTATTTTTTCGTTATTAACCTCAATGATGTAAGTTTTTCATTTTTATATATATTTTTCTTTATATTTGTTTATTATAGATATTAACATTTATATTATCATTTTAGAATCTATTATTCAGCAAAGTTATATAGATTGTCATTTGAAATATTAATAAAAAAAAATGAAAAAAAATTAAAAAATTTAAAAGATGGTCTTGAAAAATTATTTGAAGACAGAAAATTTGAAACAGATTTTGAAAGAACTAAAAAACTTTTAGAAGAATATGAACGTTTCAAAAAAAATAGTAGGTATCAAATAGTATTCATTTAAATATTATATCTGTAGTAATGTAGTGTCTAACTACTTTTTTAGATTTTAATAATAGATACAACCCAGATCTTCAACATAAACCACCATAAAGACCACCAATAAAACCACAATTTCAACATATCTTAGTAGATATAACATAGATAATAATTGATAAAATAAAATTGAAAAAAAAATGATTTATAATCAAAAAAAAAAAAAAAATTAGAAACTGTTTAATAGAAACTAAAAAAGAAAAAGATTAAGAAGAATTTATCAAATATATTCAAAATCCATGAAGGTAAAGATCCAATCAAAGTAAAAGACCTTCAATTATATCAACACCGATGAATTTTTTCATTCTAATCAACTATTTGATGAATATCGGACATTGTTCTGGCCAAGCAACTATGGTATCATCGAATGGTTTTAGATATGGAAAGATTTAGTGGTTCCTATCCGGCAGCTTCCAAAAAACTTTAACAACTTGGCACAAGTTCTTAGTAAATCCGTAATGTCCAATTATATAGTTGTGCTTTCAATTGATAGTTTTAGATGACCACCAGGTTAAAATCATGATTAATCTGCCGCTTTTATTTTTATTTTAAATTATTTAAATTAATAAAATAAAAATAAAGATAGATTCTTTTTATAAAATTTTTTCAATAAAAGTTTGAAATTAATTTAAAATTTCACATTCATTCCTAATTTAAAAAATTTTTAACATTTTCTTTAATTTTGAAAAAGTCATCATTAACATAAAATACAAAAAAAGTTAAAACAAATAATATATATATCGCCTTTGGAATTTTATAAAAATAAAAATTACCTTATACTTTGATTTTTTATAAATTTTTTATTTAGTTTCTTAAGGATCTTTAAATTTATTTATAATTCTACAAAAAAAACAAAAAGAAAAAACAGAAATTGAAATTTAACTATTTTACAACAATTGGATTGGTAAATTACCAAAATACTGGATAACTTCTCTTTCTTGCAAAATTATTAACAATTAAAGCAGTCAATAACATTATAAGAGCACCGCTTGTAACAGGGACTAAACAGAAATAGAATCCTCTCCAACGTTGTTCAGCAGACATAACCCCAATTAATGCAGTGGCACCACCAGGTGGATGTAGTGTAGTGGTTAATTGCATGAATGCAATGGATAAACTGACTGCTAAAGCACAGGCAACTTCAAAATTAGCATTGGTATATACAAGGGCCACTCTTATAGCCATACCGATAATAGACGAAAAAAGATGACCAAATATCAAATTACGTGGTTGCGATAGTGGGGCTTTGGGTGCTGCAAATATTAATACTGCTGATGCTGCAAAGGAACCAATTAACATTAACATTTCTCTATCTATCATTACTCTATAATGAATTAATGCTAAAACCAATATACCAATAAAAGAAGACAACCAACTCCATCCAATCTCCTCTAAATCAGGTCTTGGTGGTGCTTTTTCATATCCTTTCCATTTTTTAAAGTAGTTTATAAAATAATCTTTAATTTTTGTTACTATTCCCTTTTTTTTATTACTATTATCATTTTTATCATTATCAAGGGATATTCCTGGTGTAACTTCTTCTTTTATTTCTATACCTGAGCTTTCCCCACTATTTGATTCATATGGGTGGTGATTATCCATTGCTTTTCTATTTTCTAATTCTACTTCCTCCATTTTTATATTTAAACAATTAATAAATTTTTAAAAAATATTTTTTTTTTTTTTTTTTTTTTTTAAATTTAAATTATCTAATTTTGGTTATATTATTAATTATTAATTTTTTAGGTATTGTTAATTATAATTTTTTGTTATATTTATTAATATAAAAAAATAAAAGATAATATTATAGAGATATTATTATTTAAAATTTTAAAATCTTTTAAAATGATTTGTTTTTTTTTTAAATTTGTTTATTTTTATTTATTTATATTTAACATTAATTAATAAAAACAAGAACCATTTAATTTTTTTCCCATTTTTTTTTTTTTTTTTTTTTTTTTTTTTTTTTTTAAAAAAAAAATTAAATAATTTAAACAAAGATGGGAATTAAAGTAATAAGTGATCATTTTTATTGATTGGATTATTATTAATAATAAACTCTATACTTCATGGTAATTTTCAGATTTTCATACTTATGAAGTTCTATTTTAAAATTTTATTATAATTTATAAAAATTTTTTTTTATAAAAAAAATTTTTCCTATGTTTAGGTCACGCAACACCCCACTATTTTTAAAAAACACCTCTGGAAATTCTGACCTAAATTTCCCGTTTTTTTTTTAAAAATATAAACAAAGTTTTTGAACCATTTTTTTTTTTTTTTGTTGGGTTATAAATCGGTAATAAAAAAATTATAATAAAATAAAAAAAATAAAAAAAAAAAAAAACAAAAAAATGGGCTAATTTAAATATTTATTATTGTTATATTAAATTATAATAATTTATTTTTAAAAAAAAATAATTAATTAATATAAAATTTTTTTTTTAATTAATTTGATTTAATTTATTATTTTTGTTTGATTTTTTGATTGTTTAATTGTTTGGATGTTACATGTTTGTATAATCAATCAAACATATTTTAGGAGCTTGGTTTTCAAGACAATACATATTATATTGAAAAGCCGCAGGAGAGTATGCTACTGATGATATTGATGGGATTATTAATTAGGTAATTTGAATTCCAATGGGCAAATTTACCATAAAAACTGATGGGTCTAAATAAAATAAAATTATAATTATAAAATTTATTTTTTTCATTTTGAAATTTTATTCCCACACCTATATTTTTTTTTCCTTTTCAAAATAATATTACCTTCACAAAAAAATAAAAGATAATCAAAAAATATTTGTTCTATATGTACCTATGTTGATGTTTATAAGTAATTAATTATATATCCCTAGTATAGGTCTATTCAATAACCTTATAATTTCAGGCAATAATAGAATGTTTATATTTTTCGACATAATCTTAGATATCATTTTAATAGATGATCAATTTTTAGAGGCCATAAAGAAATAATGTTTCAATTAATGATACAACTCCAATTAACACTTTGCTCAAGATTTAGATACACCAAAAACATTATATAAGAACTGTGATAGATATGTAAAAATAATGTTAAGTAACTCTGGAATATTCTTTATTTTTAATGATATATCATTAAGTCATCAGTATTTTTGTTTATTGTTTTTTATTTTGTATTAGATATGTTTTATACCTGAATGGATTTAAGTTTATATCACCATGAATTTAAGTTTGTACAGACTCTGTACTACAGAGTCACATCAATTGGTGTTTGATTCTGAAAACTTGAATATATACCCAGATCCAAACCCTGGTAGCTTGTAAAAACATAATCTTTTCAGCTGTTAAACTGATATCATTTTAATTGATATGATTTTGTGCTACAATTACTTTAACATTGCATTACTACAAGATGTACCATTCTCACTACCATCATCTGTTACAACATTTGATTCAAAAAATAAGTATTTTGACCCTTATTTAACTGAAGGGTGTAATATTTAAAGAATAAATAAAAATAAAAAAATAAATTATTTATTATAAAAAAAAAATTTAAAAAAAAATAAAATTTTATTATTAAATAATAAATATATTGTGATTGATGTTTATTATCTAATAGGGGAAAAAAGTGTTTTTTTATAAATTATAAATGAGAAATATATAAATAGCAGTGGAAAATGGGTGAAAAAATTATTGTAATTATTAAAATCTAATAAATGACTGTAATATTCCCTTTTAAATAAAATTAAGATAATTTTCTCAAAGGTTTTATTTAAATAATTTTAACTATTTTTTTATTTATTTTTTATTTAAAAAATAATTTAATAAAATATGTATTAAATATTTTTGTTTATAAATATATAAAAGATAACTAGTTAAACAATAGATAAATTATTATAATAAAAAATATAACTATTCATAAAAAATACAAATTTTTTAATTTAATAATTGTGGAATCGAAGTTAAAGAAAAAAAAAATTAATAAAATTAAAATAAAAATAAATTTTCAATCTTTTTTTAACTAAATAATTTTGATAAATAGAAAATTATTATATATTCATCAGAATTAAACTTATAAATTATTAAAATATATAGAAATAATATTTGAAATTTATTAATCTTTATTTTTTTAAATCTTTAACTTAGTATTCAGGATATCATTTAAAAGAGAATTTAATGAATTTTTCAAATCAAAATATAGATTTAATTAAAAATCTAAATTTAAAAATATAAAATTAATAAAGTCTATATAACTATTACAAATTAAATTAAATATAAAATATCTCACATATTATAACAATGAATATTTTTAATTTTTTTTTTTTTATAATTTATTAAAATTTTTAAATTTCATTTTTTTTTTTTTTTTTTTTTTTTCATTTATTAAAATTAAAGCTTTCATTCACACACACACTCGTTTTTTTAAATCCAGCTTATATTATTTTTTTTTACATTAAACCATATAATTATTTTTTTATTTTTTACACCTATATACATTTTATTTTATTTTAATTAATTATTTATTTTTTAACAAAAATGGATCAATTAACTTTCGATATTTTATATTTATTTTTTGTTTTTTGCTTTTTTACTATTTGGTTTGGTTCAATAATATTCGAAAAATCCAATTACACAAGTTGCAAAAACTCTACTATGAAAGGTAAAAAATGCGATTACTGTATCTCTAATGACGAATTCATAGAAAATCAAGAAAAGCTACGTCAAAGATTTGCACAGATACACTATAGACCATATTATCAGCGACAATATCAGTTATATCAACAGATGCTAAATCAACAAGAACAAGAACGTCTAATGCTTGAACAACAAGAACAAGAACGACTATATCAACAACATCTAATAGTTCGAAAACTTTTTAATAAACATTATCAGTTGCAATTACAACTAGAACATAACCATCGAAAAGAACAAAGCCCAGTTAAATGAAAATTTATCAACACTATTTAAAGCTAGAAACTTTTAGATAATCAATTATAACTATAATTTTAAAAAAAAAAAAAAAAAAAAAAAAAAAAAAAAAAAAAAAAAAAAAAAAAAAAAAAATAATAATATTAGATTTTAGATTCAAAACATTCAATTTTATAATTTAAAATAATAATAATAATAATAATTAGTTCAAAATATAATCAAAATAGTATTAATATTAAAATAGACTCAGCTTTATTTAAACCAACTTAAAAAGATTTAAACTAGTCAACCCAAATGAAACTTTTCAATCTAATCACAATATATCTATCAAATTTCTCTGGCCAAGTAAATATGGTAGAACATCAAATAATATTAGATAAAGAAAAATATTTAGTTGACCCTATTTTAAGTTTGGTATAGAATGCAAAATCTAGGAAACATAACCAACTTTCGAACAACCATGATCAATCAAATTACCATGGCACCAAAACATATATTGTATACCATTTCCAAAGTTTATTACTGGTTTATTTAATTAGAAACAGTATTCAAAATTATTTTCTGCTCCATCAGACATATCGAAAATAATTTCAGTGGGATACTGAAACATAATAAAATTTTTAAAATAAAATAAATAATATAAAATTTGATTAAAAATAATAAAAATAGTTTTATAAATAATAATAATAATAGTAATAATAGTGATATTAAAAATAATATAGTTGCAATGAAGAAATGTTAGAACAACAACGTGTTATATTTAAAAACAAATTTAAAGAGATTATAGTAGATGAAATACCAGTTGTAGATGTACCAAGTCGAAGTGGTTATGATATGTGTATTAAAGTTAAACCAGGTAGTAATCCAATTAAAAGAATAGCCTAGAATCATACACCTGAAGTAAAAGAGAAAACATTTAAAGAAGTAAAGAGATTATTAAGCAAAGGTATTATTGAAGAGTGCGAATCAGATTATTGTTTAATACCGTTTTAGGTTAAAGATCCTAGTGGTAAAGAAAGATTAGTTTTGACTTTAGGTCAATTAGCGAACAGACAATCGAGTTTGCTTTTCCCATGTCAAATATCAACGACATGTTTTCAGACAAAATGGTTAAGAGTATACCGTGCAAAAGAACATTAACAGCAGTGAAAGCAGCAAAGCTTTTTTGGGGTAATATAGTTTGCGTTTATGGTTTACCGTTATCAATCGTTAGTGACAATGACAAATTATTTAAATCAGATTTATGGAAGAGTATAATGGCAAGCACAGGTATTAAAATGAAATTAACAGCTCCGGGTCGTCCACAAGCAGATGGTCAGTCGGAAAGAACAAATGGAACAATTAAAGAGACCCTATCCAAAGCAAAGGCAAAAAGGGATAGATGGGATGAAGAGTTATCAAATATAGAATAGCACAAGATAATTTATTTGAAGCTCAAGTAAAACAAGAAGTTCAGTTTAATATGAATAGAAAAGAATTAGAAATAGAAGAAAATAGTTTAGTTTTGGTCAAGAGATGCTTTTTAAATACAATTAAGAATATAGTAGCACAGGATCAATTCAAATTATTACCGAAATATTCAGGTCCATTTAAAGTTATAAAGAGGAAAGAAAATACAAACAATTATAAACCATTAGTAGATGAAATTGAAAAGATCATTAAAAGAAGAATCCGTAAATATGGCAAAGGTGAAAGAATAGAATATTTAATCAGATATAAAAATTCAAATGAAGATAATGATACATGGGTACCAAATTTTTTTTTAGAAGACGAATGTGAAGATATGGTTAATAGTTTTGAAGCCGATTACAGAGATGTTGGTAAATCAATTCAAGTTTAAAAAAAAGAAAAAAATAAAAAAAGTTATTAGGTTATAGTATTTTAGTTCAAACCAGTAATTTTAGGCTCCGCTTAGGAAGGGGATGTGTAATGAACAAGGATCATTACTCAATAATAATCAATATTAATTAATAATAATTAACAATTATTTTAATTCATCAAAAAAGAATTTTTTAAAAAAATAAAAAAAATAAAAAAATAAAAATAATAAAAACATTTTAGGTTTTGAATTTTACCAAATTCATAAACATTTTCATATAAATTTTATTTTATTTAATTATTTGATCTTAGTACCTTACAAAATATTTTTTTTTAATTTTTTAACGTTCTTTTTTTTGGTACACTTTTTTTTTTTTTTTTTTTTTTTTTTAAAAGCGAAAATAATTAAAAGCAAATGCTTTAAATTAATCAGTAAAATGGTACACTTGTAGGAAATTCGTTCGAACACTTGGCTATCATTGCTCCCCCGGTACACTTGTCGGTTAAAATTGGAACTTTTCAAAAAAAAAAAAAAAAAAAAAAAAAAAAAAGGTTTATCATCAGGAAGATACATTTTTCCTTTTGAAATCTAAAAAATACTGGTTCTACTGAGACTCGAACTCAGATTACGGGATTCAAAGTCCCGGGTGCTAACCAATTACACTATAAAACCTCGTATGAAAATTTTTTTTTGCTGGTTGTTGTGGTCCGAAAAAACAAAACCAGTTTTATTATACCTTTTAAGCTCCACAAAATGATTATTTGCAGAAATAACCTCAATTGAAATTTTTTTTTATTAAAAATAAACAATACCCCAGTTAAAAACTTTAATAAAATAATAAATAGATAAAAAAGAATTATAAAACTTTATTTATTTTTCAAAATTGAAAAAGAAAAATAAAGTTTCCAGGTTTATCCATTCCAGGTTTATCCATTCCAGGTACTACTTCAATTTTTTACAAAAAAAAGAATTTTTTTAGAAATATAAGTAACATTGATTTTTTTATAACAAAATATTGGATTAAAAATACAAAATTATTTTTTTATTGATACTCCATTTAGGGTAGAAAATTTAGTTTATTTTTTGAAAAAAAGGGGTTTCTAAGTTTTAAAAACAAAAAAAAAAGTTTTTAATTTAAAAGGTGTTTAAAAATCAATAAAAAACAGTTAAATCATAATCAATTAATATAAATAGTAATGTGTGGTTGTTTCCCCCTTTTATTTTTTTTTTTAAATTTTTTTTTATTTTTTTTTTAAAAATTTTTTTTTTTTTTTATTAATATACATAAATATTGTTAAAAGGATTTTTAAATATATTTTATTACAATATAGCAGTTATATAATTAAGCGCTATATTTAAAATTAAAAATAAATAAATTTAATATAATTTTTTTTCTATAAATACTTCAAAATTTTTTTTTATATATCAACATCAAAATTTATTAATATATCTAAAAATATAAAAAATTATTATATTTTAAAAAAATAAAAATAAATTAATAAATAATAACATTAATTATAAAAAATAAATATATTTTAATATTAATAACTAAATATCATTGGAAGGAACAAATAAAAGACCTATTACCTGAAGAAATTCAATTCAAGATCTAGATCTATCAACATCCCTATAGCATTAGATATCATTTTACAAATGGTAAAGTATACATATTATTATTTAATTTATTGATTAAAAAATTATATACTTATATCTTATTTTTAATAGATGGTAAATGTTTAGAAGCAAAAAAATATAGAGAAAAAAACAATCTTTCAAATGATACAATAAATACTCTAGATTATCACTTTGCCAAAGAGATAGTATAGTGCAACTATGATGAACCTTTAATTCAAATGCTTATTGAAGAAAAAAAGAAACAAATACATATATTTCAAAGTATAAAGAATAGCTAGTAATTATTTTTATGAAAAAATTTATGCTTGTCAATGGGTTATTTTGATGTATCTCTTACATTTTTTATTATAATTATTAAACCCAACCTCCCACATTTACAAATAAAAAAACACCATAATATTTTAAAGTGAAGCTCCCAAGTTGGTATCCTATGACATCCAAACATTAAAAGAAGTTAAAGATATCTCCTTCTGTGCAAAAGAATATGTTTATCAATTGATATACTATTTTTAAACTTTTATTTTTTTTTTTTTTTATTTCTATCATTATTTATAAATTATTTTTAAGTACTTGGGTTTGGATAAATAGCAAAAGAGAAACTACCTGAAGGACTTTGAGAGTAGCTACCTTCACAGGTTAATCGATTAACAAAGTAATACCCAGATGCAATAGTAGGGATCCAACAATTCTTGGTGTACAACCCTCCAAATTGGTAAGTCAAACGAAATTATAAATGATATAGGTTCATTATCATTGTAGTCATTGTTTTTTTATTTTTGTGTTTTTATTTTTTTATTTTTTTTTTTTAATGATTATTAAAAATTGCAATCACTTTCCATATTTAGTAAAAAAAAAAAAATTAATAAAAATAAATAAAATAAAATAAAATAAAATAAAATAAAATAAAATATAAAAAAGTAATTTATTTCTTTACAATGATCAACAAAAAATGCCATCAATTATTTTAAATATATAAAAGTAAAATTATTTGTTATAAAAATATTTAAAGAAATATCATATATTTAACAACCAAAAAAAAACTATGTTTTTGAAAAATTTCATCAATGAATTTTCAACTAACTCCATCAATGAATTTCATTTCTATTTGAAGTAAAAATTAAAATTTTTTTTTAATTTACTTTTTTTTTTTTTTAATTTAAGAATTTTTTTTTAATTTACAATTTTAAATTTTAGAAAATAATTTTTTAATTTTTTTTATTTATTTTTTTTTATTTATTTTTTTTTATTATTTTATATTCATTAATATATACATTATTTATATAATTTAATCAACTCATTATTTTTTATTATTGCATTCCACCCATTAATAATTTTTAATAACAATAATAGTTTTTTTGAAATAAAATTACACTAAATCACATTTCACATTATCACTCTTTTTATTACAATTTAAAAAAAATGGATTATTTAACTAATGCATTTTACAGAATAAGAAATTATTTTTCCAGTGATAACAATAACAATAATAACAATAATAACAATAATAACAATAATAACAATAATAATAATAACAATGATGAAAGCAACACCTGCACACAACCATCTAATTCAATAATTTCCAATGATTATAACAACAACAATAATATCAATAATAATAACAATATTAATAATAACAATAATAATATTAATAATAATAATAATAATATCAATAATAATAATAATATCACTAGTATCAATAATAATAATAATATTAATGATAACAATAATAATAATAATAATAATAATAATAATAATAATAACATTTCCCAAATCAGTCAATCCCCACTTGACCAATGTATTAATGCCCCATCACACAATCATTCACCATCTCAACCACAAAATATAATATTAGAATCACCATTCCATAGATCAACTGATATTATTCCAACTTTTCCAGCAACAATATCACCATATACCCCATCACACAATCAATCACCATCTCAACCACAAAATATAACCTCAGAATCACCATTCCATAGATCCACCGAAATCATACCAACTTTTCCTGCAACAATATCACCATATACCCAATCACAAAGTCAACTCCAATCTCAATTTTTTAATTCTTCTCAATCAAATATCCCAATTCCACCATGGTTTGCACAATCATACCAACAAAATATAACCTCAGATTATACACCATTTCATAGATCCACTGACGTTATACCAACCTATCCAGCAACAAGATCATCATCTATAAAGAGACCATTGGAAGAAGATGATATATCAAATGAAAGTGATAGAAAAATTAACAAAAAAAAAAAACTCGATGAAGAGAGTTTAAAAAAAGATAAAGATCGTGCTAAAATGGAAAAATTAAAAAAAGAAAAAGAAGAAAAAGAAAAATTAGAAAAAATTCAAAAGGAAAAAGAAGAAAAAGAAAAAGAGGAAAAAGAGAAATTAGAAAGGGGACTATTAGAAATAGATTACCATTGTAATATTTGCATAGACCAAATAGAGACCATAAAAAAAGCAACAATTGATTGCAATCATAAATTTTGCTTTGATTGTATATTAGAATGGTCGGATCAAGCTAACACCTGTCCAACATGTAGAAAAAGATTTTATAATATAAAAGTAAGTAATTTACACATTCATATTTATTTATAAAAAATAAAACATATTAATTTATTTCAATTATTAATAATTTTCAGAGAGACAATTATGTTGAAGGTTTAGTAAACAGTGCCAATGTCCCATATAGAGTTCAAGGAGAAGATAGATGGCCAAATTTTTACAGTACACTCCAAGAATTAATCCATGAAGCCGCTCATCTCCCACCAATTCCATACCCTTTTCCTTACAATTCTTATCCTGGCTTATATAATAATGAAGATCACCCAGGAAATGGCAATGAATATGAAGAAGAAGATGATAAAGAAGATAACGAAGAAGATAACGAAGAAGATAACGAAGAAGATGACGAAGAAGATGACATGGATCTCTCAAATTAATATTGAAATTTGAAGGCGATTAAATTAATAGTTTTACATAACTCATTCAAAGTTTCTTTAAGAAATAGATGAAGACTAAACTATTAACAAAATCGTTTCATTCAGGGTTTTAATTAATTTTAAGGTAACTATAATGTTAATATTTACATAATTATTATTAAATTTGAATAATAAAAAACTAATATCTAATTTTAATACTTATTTAGTTTAAGTTCATGCATTCTTTTTCAGTTTCAATGCTTAATTTATTTCAAGTAATTAATCATATATTGTGGTCCATATATTCTATTAAATCAGGGTTCAGTATTTTCATTCTAATTGTAGTTTCGAGTCATTCATCAAACGCTGGGGGTTTTTAAGGTGACTCATCTAATATTGGGGATTCAATATATTCTTTTTAAAAATGGCTTTCAAGTTACTCATCATACATTGGAGTTCAATATATTCTTTTAAAATTGGGGTTATCAAGTCATCATACATTGGGGTTCAGTATATTCTTTTAAAATTGGGGTTTTCAAGTCACTCATCATATCGAGGTTCAGGATATTATTTTAAAATTGGGGATTTCAGGTCACTCATCATAGGTTCGACATATTCTTTTTAAATGTGGTTTTCGAGTTATTCATTAAACATTGGGGTTGTTTTTCAAATATTTTATCATAAATTGTGGGTTTATCAAGTTATTCAAACGCTGTGGTTTTTTCAAATCGTGTGTCATACATTGGGGTTTTAATTTATTCTTTTTAATTGGGTATTTTATGTTATTTTATCAAGCATTGGGGTTTTTTCAAGTCACCCATTATTCATTGGGGTTTACTTTATTCTTATTAATTGTGATTTTCAGGTCTTTCATCATTCATTGGGGTATTTGTACTTTAAAGGTATTTATAAAGTTAATATTTATAACTATTATTATATTTGAATATAAAAGATACTAATATTTAATTTTAAAAATTATAAGATTTAAATTCTTTTTATTTCAACTTTATATGTATATAGTGTAAATAACAAATAACAATAGATAATAATAATTATCATCAATTTTATCACAAATTATTAATATATAGAATTAAAAATTCTACATCCCTAGTTAATTTTCTATTCATTATCAAAATAAAGATATTTAATTTTAAACTTTTTTAATTTTTTAATAATATAAATTTTTATTGTTTTTTATTATTTTAAAAACCATGGTAAATTTTTTCCATCTTGTGAAACTTGGTGAATAAATTGACTTAAAGTTGCTGTTATTGTGGTTGTAATTGTATAAAATAAAAAGTCAATTATTGTAATTTATTATCATTATTATTTATTATTTCTATTATTATTTATAATTATATATATATTTAAAACTCTAAAGCATTTTAATATGACCTATAGTTTGAAACAAATCTCTAGTGCAATACTACCACCCTGATACCACGATTGACTCTGATACTAATTCACTACCATTGCCTCTGTAATGGTATAACTCTTGTAGAAAATGAGTAACTACGATTCTCTGTATGTGATATGTGCAAAGTTACTGTGAGTCATATGTTTTTGAAATCTTTTCCATTAACCAAATATATTTAATCTGTACTGACGATCCGGATTAAAAGTAATTTTAAAATTTTTTTGCTGAATATATATAGGTAATTATCATTATTATAAAAGTACATTCATTAAATGATGATAAATTTATTAAAAAAAAAAAATTTTTAAAATTAATTTTTTGATTTTTTTTAATTATTTTCTAAAAATGGTACTGCACTACCATAAACATTATTTTATTATAAACTAAATAAATAAAATATTATAACTATAATTATATATTATAATGTCCTTCATATTAAGCGAAATAAAAAGACACACCAGGTTAGGTAAATAATTAGAGAGCTAACTGCTATTTCTAAACAATTGTTCAAATTAAAATAAAATACAATCACTAAATTAATACACATAGACATATCACCATTAAATAAAGCATACCATAAGCGAAGCATTTTTAAAAGAATGTTATTTAACTTTTCAATGAACATATATATTCCCAAACATTAGCAAAGACCTACAATCAAACCAATTGATTTATAAACAGTCTTCAAGAATAAATATTGTAAAGTATGCAGCTACAATCAAATATTAATTTGTTTTTCAATAAAAAATTTGTAAATAACAAAATCTGAATTTAGGTAAAACCAACTCAGAAAAAGAAGACATTTATAAAATAGAAATTGAATGAGGTTCCAAAAAGTATAAATTCAAGCTTATTTCAAAGATTATCAAAGAAAAGCTTTTTGAATATTGGTCTATTACATTAATGCTAGATTTGGGTGTTTTTAAAACAATTATGGAAATTATAAAATATAGTAATACAAAAATGAAAAGAGATAGATCCCATTTAGTTCAATCAACAACTAACTTTACAGATGATCAAATTAAAATATATATGCTCTACATTCTCATATTCATAAAATTGATAAATTATATAAAATAAAGATATTACAAACAAAAAATAGTCTTTTCTTATTTTTTTTTTTTTTTTTTTTTTTTTTATTTTTATTAGGGTGCAATTTTTTTTTTGAAAAAAAGGGGTTTCTAAGTTCGGGGTCGATTAGTTCCATTTTTAAAGTCAATTTCTAAGTTTTAAAAACAAAAAAAAAAAGTTTTTAATTTAAAAGGTGTTTAAAAATCAATAAAAAACAGTTAAATCATAATCAATTAATATAAATAGTAACGTGTGGTTGTTTCCCACATTTTTTTTTTTTTTTAAATTTTTTTTAATTTTTTTTTTAATTTTTTTTTTTTTTTTATTAATATACATAAATATTGTTAAGAGGATTTTTAAATATATTTTATTACAATAAAGCAATTATATAATTAAGCGTAATATTTAAAATTAAAAATAAATAAATTAAATATAATTTTTTTTTCTATAAATACTTCAAAATTTTTATTTATATATCAATATCAAAATTTATTGATATAAAAATATAAAAAATAATTATATTTTAAAAAAATAAAAAATAAATTAATAAATAATTAATATATATATAAATTAATAAATTTAAAATTATAAAAAATAAATATATTTTAATATTAATAACTAAATATCAATGGAAGGAACAAATAAAAGACCTATTACCAGAAGAAATTCAATTTAAGATCTAGACAAAAAACTATCAACATCCCTATAACATTAGATATCATTTTACAAATGGTAAAGTATACATATTATTATTTAATTTTTTGATAAAAAATTATAAATCTTATTTTTAATAGATGGTAAATGTTTAGCAGCAAAAAAATATAGAGAAAAAAACAATCTTTCAAATGATACAATAAATACTCTAGATTATCACTTTGCCAAAGAGATAGTATAGAGCAACTATGATGAACCTTTAATTCAAATGCCTATTGAAGAAAAAAAAAGAAACAAATACATATTTCAAAGTATAAAGAAATCCAAAAATACTTAGAAGAAAGTTTAGATCATAGAAATGATACAATAAAATATTGGAAAGAAAATAGTATTGAATATCCAACATTATAATCAATTATAAGAAATGTACTTTCAGTTGCTTCTTCGTCAGTTGAAATTGAAAGAACATTTTCGGGTGCTAAGTTGTTGGTTACATGTAGACAACAGATCAAATTTGGGTTGGGAAAGAATAGAACAACGTGTGTTATTAAGGGAATAGGCAAACATTTCAAGAGTAGATATTGTCGAAAACTCTGTCTTTTATAATTAAATAAAATTGTACAAGAGTTTTAAATTTTTTTTATAAAAAAAAATAATGTAATTCTAAGTTTTTTTTTTTTTTTTAAAGTTTCTAAGTTTTTAAATGAAAAAATTAGTCAAGTGGGTGGGTGTGGGAGTGGGGGAAACTTAGAAATTTTTTTTTTGAGAAACTTTGACTAATTTTTTTCCCTAATTCCATTGTAGAGGTTGAAAATTATCTTTATCGTTATCCTTTTTTGTATCAATTGGAAGATTTTAAAAAAAAAGGATAAAAGTGGATAAATAAAAAAAAAAAGATAAAAAAAGGATAATAATTTATAAAATTATAAAATATTTTTGTAAAAAAAAAAAAAAAATTGTTAAAATAAAATTGAAAAAATACAAAGGTTTTTATTATTATAAGAAAAAATGATTATTATTATTATCACGCTTGTTGTGAACTCTTCCATTATGTTTTTTATTGAGAATATATACAACATCTTGAATTTGACCATTCCATTCTTTGAGAAGAATACGCGATTCAATGGTAGAGTCTGTCTTTTATGGGTAACATAAGAAGGTTTAAGAAACTATTTTATATTTATTTTGTCATCAAGTAGTCCAATATTGAAAATACTGATATTTCAGGTAATATCTGTTTATTTATTTTAACCAATTTAAATATTTATAATATTTATGATCTAATAAACTATTCTTTAAAAATGATTCTACATAACTATACTCCACGTTGTCATTTGGTTCATTTGTTATTAATTGGTTTTGATATATAAATTTTAAAAAGTTTATAGAGCCACCACTAATTAATGTATGAACCAATGATTGGGAAACCTTTAATGTTTTTTCGTTTGGATAAGTTTTGCATAAAAAAAGGTAAAAGTCAAACGGTATGAACTTATAGATAGTTTCAATTGAAACTTTGATGAAATTCTTTAGTTCCATGTTGATGTCACCATATACCAGCGAGTGAAACTTTATCAAAAAACAAACCTTAATTTCCTGTGTAATGTTATATTGGTAATCATATAAAAAAAATAAATCCGATGGCTTTGGATCCAGATTTAACATTTGCTTTAATATATCTGCATGAAATTCCTTATTAAATTTTCTTGGGTACTTTATTAACTCTGGTGCTAAATCGCTTGATACCGCACTAATAATGAGATCCTTTGTGAAGCCAAAACCTCTGAAACAATTTAAAAGTGATAATTCTTTAATAAATAGATCTCTTCTTTTAATTTCCAATAGATAGCATAGGTTGATGTTTAATACCATATCTATTTTTTCTTGGTAAATTTCTTGTAGTGTCTCAATTGCAGAGTATGATAGTTTTAATAGCTCCTTTATTATAGAATCTTGATTGACTTCAAAAATAAAATCGAAATTAAATATATTTGAATCTAAATATCTATTTGGGAAATCTTCTGTGCTTAGCTCTGAATATTGAAGGTTTTCATCTGGTACTAGATAGTATTCGTTATCGGTATTAAAGAATGGTGACTCTATTATATATTTTATGTACTTTGGTGATTTGATTGAGAGATAATAAACTGAATGAAAATTTGAATGTGATAATGTAATATTTGATTTTAGCTTTATAAATTGATAGATATACACCAGTCTATCTGTATTTACTTGTGGGGTTTGTATTAGTCTTTTAAACAAATCATTTATTGTTGTTTCTAATACTGAAGTTTCACCATTACTGCCGCTATAGCTATTTATTAGAATTTCGATTATTTCTATTAAATCGTCGGAAGATGCTCTTTGTAATGGATATCTTAATAACTTAACATTTGAATTGCAATGGAATACTTTATAATCTACGATACTGGTGATACTTTTCCATTTAGTTAAGAATAGCTGTGGGTGTTGATTAATGGGATTAAAACTATGATTTAGGAAAATTTTTAACTTGTTTACCGAACTTTTTTTAATACATTCTATAAATAACTTGATCCATGATGAAAGTATCCTATAATCGTCACTTGTAGATGGTTTTAATTCTATATATTTTGAAAGAGTATTTTTTAAATGAACTGATGTAATTTGTGGACAAAATAGATCCAATGCTTTAAAAGCACATTCAATTGAACCGCGTGATACTAAATAATCCAATATGCTATATACCTCTTCATCGTTGCCCTTTCTATTATTATCTAGATGAATTTTAAATCCCTCCTTAACATTTAAAACTTCACCAAAGCTTTTAATTGTGCCCAAATCATACTCGTTGATGGCCTTTAATAATACATATTCCCCAATATCCATAGATAGCTTTATTCCTTTTCCCCTTGAAACCAAATACCTTAATAGATCAAAACTTGAATAATAAAATAATTTGTGATCTAATTTGTTTTTTATAATTATGTTGATTGATTCTTTGTCTCTTACTAACAGTTTGTTATTAATTGTAATAAAATCCGATCTTTCTGCAATCTGCTTATAAGGTGCTGCAATGGTACTATTTGTAGGCGCTGATTTAACTATATCAAAAAATATTTTCATATCATCCTGACTATTGCTTTTTAAATACATTTCTAATTTGTTTGTAATTTCTTGGTTAAATTTGCAACACATAAAAAATTTGGAATCTTCCTCATTTTCTAATGATAAATAATATTTGATGAAATCTGGCTCTATTTTACCCCATCGTTTATGTTCTCTTTCTATATCTTTCTGAATACCCTTCCAATCACATTTGTTATTTGTTAAATAAATTTTCAAATACTCTATATCTGTTATTAAATTTGAAGGAATACACCCTGTATTGATTCTATTCTTTTTGAAAAAAGTAAATAACTTGGGTATTTTTTCGGCCTCGTTGCAGCTAAAGTTGATCATCATCTCGATCTCATGCATATATGGCGATGATTGGTCCGAGTATGTATAATAATTTAAATCTATTAATTTTTTTTGAAGCTCTATTGATTGAATATCAAATAATATTTGTTCTAAATAAACCTTTTTTGTTGGAGAACTGGAAGTTGGTATAGGTATATTATAATATTGATCACTTGATAATAAAATTTCTAAAAATAAGTCTGTTTCGAAATAACTTGATTCAAATGCTTTTTTAATTGATTTGTTTTTAAACCCTTCTATGAGATCATGGTTGTTACTATTTTGTTTTAAAAAGATATCTAATATCATTTTGAACTTTTCAGAAACAACATAACCAAGCCTATTTCTAAATATTTGAATTTCATATGGTTCGTTAACTGCTATTTCTATTAACTCCTTATCTAAATCGAATAAAAATAAATCTATATTATCTAAATTCCTTATTGAGCTATTATTTAAAAAGTATTTGAATATTTCCACTCTATTATCTAGTTGATTAAGCCATTCACCCAAAAAATGATCCATGCATATATATTCATTTGCCTCTAATTTGCACTTTAATAATGAAAACATTTTATTTTGCACCATCCACTTTAATGACACTATATCTTTAAATCTGTATCTATTACTACTGGTTATTTGTGATGGATCGTCATAGTTGACCCATTCGACTTCTTGAATAAAACCAAGTATAGTTTTAAACAAGTAAGTATTATGAAAAACTTTATAAAATAACCTATCCATATTATTAGATAAAAATTAATGTTAATACTTTTTAAAATATTGCATTTTTAAAATTATTAAAAAAAAAAAAAATGAAATTTTAATCAAAAAATCTTTTAAAAAAATAAAAAAAAAAAAATTATAAAATATCTGTTTTGAAAAAAATAATTATTTATATTATTATTTATTTGAAATTGTGTTTGGAACTATTCTAATAGTCTATGAAAGTCTAATATCCCTTTCTATTTCTGTACCAACCCTTAAATCTGTGTCATTTTTATTTATAACATTCTCTGTGATTAAATCTGAAAATGACTCTTTAATACCATGGAAATAAGTTTTTTAAGCATCTTGTGTAAAAATTAAAAGTGATCTTGGTTTTAAAAATATTTTTTGAATTGCTTCTTTTTTAATTTCTTAATAAAAATCCATTAAACCTATTTATGTATTTATTAGTATATAAACATTTGAGGTGCTAAAAAAAATTATATGGGGCAAAATTGGCAATTGCTTACATGTTGAATTTAAACTTAATATACAAATACAAGGATAAAACAATGGGCCATCAGTATGTGGAAATATACCTTCATTTACATTGTATTCATTTAAAAGAACATTATTTGCTTTAACTGGGAATATTGAATTTTCGTATATCTTATCACATATATTTGTTAACCAACTTGGTAAAGGTTCTTCAATCATACCACTTGAAACAGGTTGACCACCCCAATTTTGCAATCTTCTTCTCTTTAACTGGGTCCATTTATCTTTATTATCATCACTGTATATGTTCCTCAATAGTTCCTTTTCCTCATCAACACTAATAAAATCATCAATATAAATCCTCAAAGTAAATCTTAATCACACACAAATACACACAAAAAAAAATAATAGATAGCATTTGATTTTGGTGTTACTGATTTATAAATCAAAATAAAAAAATAATGGAAAATAAGGTTTAAAACCTTCCCATTTAGTAATCGAAATCGAACTAACAAATAGAAAGGGTTCATGAATTGTACGATTCATTTGTAAATAAAATTGACAGACGAAAAGAATTGACCAACAAAAGAAATCAAGTGATTAATGTTCATTTGGTGAATTTTTGGAAAAAAAAAAAAATTAAAAAAAAATTTTTAAAAATTTAAATTTTTTTTTAAAAATTTGGGATCATAGTTTTATAACATCATCATTAATACATATTAGTTAACTAATATATGGATACTTTATTTTATAAAGTTTTTAAAAATATATACATTAATCATTTAATAATAAAACATCTCTTAATATATAATAAATACAACAATAAAATTAAAATAAATATTAATAATGATACAGATATAATTAACTTTTTAGCTAACCCATATAAAAGCTATATGAAATCAATAGAAATAAATGACAACGATGATATAAAAAAACTCCTATATATTCAAGATTTGGACCTTATCTCCCACCCTGTAAATAATAACTCTACAGACAATAATAATAATAATAATAATGAAGATAATTTAAGTGATAATGATAATGATTATGATAATGATTATAATAATTATAAAGACCCAGAAATAAATGAGATTATAAAAATAATAAATATACATAATATTGAATCAATCGAAATCAACTCACACGAATATTTTAAATATTGTACAGAAATCAATTTAGAATTTATAAAAACTTTGGTATTAAATAGAAACAAAAATACCATTCACGTATCAAAATCATTTAATTTTTCAAATATACCAAGTCCAATAGTCAATTCTAATGTACTAACTAGTTTAGAACTTAACGACTATAATGGCCAATTAACACAACTACCAAAACAACTTAAAATACTAAAAATGAACACCTTTAATCAAACAATTAAAAATGATATATTACCAACATCACTTACCCACCTACACTTATCACAATTTAATAAACCACTTTCATATAATAACGAAATAATTTTACCAAACCAATTAAAAATCTTAATTTTAGATAATTTCAATAATGTTATTAAATCATCAAAAGAATTTCCAGAATCATTAGAGATTATAAAACTAAAGTCATATACTAAGGAAATTAAATGTTTTAATAACAATAATAAAAACAACAGTAACAATAATAATTTAAACAATTTAAAATATTTAAAACTACTAAATAATAAAAACAATAATAAAAATATTAAATCTTTTCCAAATATTAAAAAATATAAATTAAAAAGCTTTGTTGACGATTCAGTTATTTGTGAACTACCAGCAACAATCAAAACCTTTTCAATATTTTCAAAATCGATTACACTAGATCTAGGTCAATATAATGGAAATATAGCAAATATCAAATGCACAATGTCGCAGTTAGAATCAATACCAAAAACAATAAAAAAACTATACATAAACGGAGGATTTGATGGATTTAAAAATGGATCAGACCAACAATTTAATAATTTAAAATCATTATATATAGATTTTTTCAATGAAGCTAGTGATACAAGTAACAACCAAAACGAAAATCCACCACAAACTTTCAAATATCCAAAGTCAATAAAAAGATTAAAAGTCTCTTTGATGGATGAATATAATAAATCAAATTTTGACTATAGTACCATTTTACCAACAAATCAATTAAAATCGTTCAAATTAGAAGATTCGTTTGATTTTTCATTAGAAAAAGGTTCAAACTTCCTATCAAATTTTGGGGCATCACTGCAACATCTTGATTTAGGACACCAATGTATAATAAATTTTAATCAATTAAACCTATCAACAACCCTTACATCACTAAAATATTTAGCAACTTCAATAGAAAACATCAATAGCTCAACCCTTTTCCCTCCATCTTTACAATACTTAAATATAATAGTATTTTCATTTGGAAAAAACAAAACCATAACCTATATTCCAGATACCGTTAAATGTCTAATTGCTTTAGGTCCAGATATTCTATTTAATTTGCCAAGTAGATCCATTGAGAATTTGGATTCAATTTACATATCAAATACAAATAAACTTTTAACAACTCCAAACAGTGTAGATAGTTTATTATTTAGTAAAACTAAAGTTTTAAATCTTGTTTCAAATTTAAATGTAAAATTTAAACATATATATAAAATTTGTAAAATAAAATAAAAACCCCATGACATAAACCAAATTTTATTTATACACAAAAATATAAACCATTATTATTTTATTTTATTTTATTTTATTTTATTTTATTTTATTTTATTTTATTTTATTTTATTTTATTTTATTTTATTTTATTTTATTTATTTATTTTGTTTTTTTAACCATTAAAAAAAGGATTATTTGATAAATCTACGGCTTTTCCGCCATTTTCGCTATAAAATCTTTGGAAATTTTTCTTTTTTAAACGAGTTTGATAATCATCGCCTGGCTGAATTACAAAACGTGGATCTACCTTTGGCTCAGATCCCAAACCTGAACGCTCTGATCTCATTGAAACTTGAATTGATGATGTCATACCATCGCCATATTTACCTAAACCTTCACCCTCTTTCCAACCTGTTTTCTTTAGTAATTTAACCCCAATACTATTCTCACCAAATGTTGTATCCTGTTTTCTTTTATTCTTATCTGATGGTGGTGATACAGATTGACTATTATTATTATTTGACGGAGACGGTTTATAAAGATTTGTTGAGCTATTTGATGAAGATTTTAATTTTTGTAAATTTTCCTATAATAGTAAAATTAAATTAATATATATACTTGATTAATTTTATAAATTTAAAAAAACATACCAAATGAAGTTTTGATTCTTTTTCATGTTTAAAAAGTGCCTCTTTTGATGCGAACTGTCTCATGCACAATGTACAAACTGGATCTTGTTCAATACTATTATTATTTCTTTGATTATTATTATTATTATTATTGCTATTATTATTATCATTACCATTATCTTCATCATCTAGATCCCCAAAAACACTTGTTTTCTTTACAATTACTGGTGAAACAACTTTAATGGCAGCTGGTTTATTTATTGCCAATTTAATTGGTGCAGAAATTGAAAAAGACCCAATGGAAGGTTTGACATCACTAGTAACTGGTAATGTCGTTGTTGTGGTTGTACTTATTGGTTCAATAATATCAGGCATTGATGGATCATACTCCTGATCCTGTGACAACTCTTGATCTCTCTTTTTTCTTAAAATATCTTCATTTTTTAATTTTTCCTCGTCAGCAACCTCTTTTTCAGTAATAGATGCCTTAAGTTTCCATTTTTCAATTTCGGAATCATTCTAGATTATAAAAAAGGTTAGAAATGCCTATTTTCCCTGTGTATAAAGTAAATATATCTTACCTTTCTCTTTAATAATGAATTAAACTTTGGTACTGAAACAACTTTACGTTTGTCATCAGGTTTTTGCTGCTCGCTGGGCTTAGCTTGACTAGAGCTTAATGATTGGGTTTGGGACACTGTGGTTTTATTGAAATAATTTGAGTGTTGTTGTGATTGTTTATGTGGATGTGAAGGAGTATATGGCAAATATGAATTTGTAGCTGAATCATAACAGTAATAACCCTTTGAGTTTGTGTCATAATAAAAGTAAACGCCATTATTTGTATCGTAAAAGTAACCAGACTCTGAAGAATAGTAATGGCCTGTAGTAGCATGATAACTATAACCATTTGGAATGTTTGCAGCAACGGTAGTGGAACCATAATTATTTAACCATTGGTCCATATCGGCCTTTGATAAACCAATATTTGGATCTATAGCCTCTTTTTTATTATCTGTATTTTTTGCATAAGAAATACTTACAATTGAATCACCAATATAAAATGGCCTTTGATGGCATTGATTAAAAACATCAACTGCATCCTTGGATAATAAAAAACAAAATGTTAATAAAATTAAATCTTTTAAAGATTTATAATATATTTAATTGTTACATTTGTTGCATAGTATTCCACAAAGCCAATACAAATATTTCTTTTCTTTGAAACTGAATATCTTTTTGGTGTTCTTCCAAATTGAGCGAATGCATTTGCCAACTAATAATTAAATTGAAAATCAATTATGTTAATAGTTTGAATATATTTAATTATTATCTAATATTGTTATTATTATGCTTTATTATTATTATTATTATTATTATTTATTATTTATTATTTATTATTTATTATTTATTATTTATTATTTAAATAAAATTATTATTAAAATAATAATTTATTATTATTGATTTTACTGTTTCTTCTGTTGCATATGGCACTAAATCACGGATTACTATAGTTGAACTTGGAACACTCTCTTGAATCTGTTGTGCCTGTTGGGCTGATACCCATCTAGGATTCTCCGGCATTGGATCTTGGCATCTATGGCAAGCAACTCTCCATGAATAATTTGAATTATTACACTAGTTATTTTTATTTTATTTTTATTTTTATTATTATTATTAATATTAATATAAATATAATTTATTTATAATTTGATTAAAAATAAAAAGGGTTTAGTTAGATTTTAATTTTTAAATTTAATGAAAAAAACACAATCTATACAGATTCGCAAAGCCAATCATAATCACCAGGATGACCATAAGATAATAACACTCCATGGCCATCAATATTTATTGAACCTTCTGTTAATTTCAATATTTCTGTTGCTTCATCAATTGTTTTATAATTTACAAATGCATAACCCTTTGAATCACCTGTAGTTCTATCATATCTAACCTCAATTGACTCATATGCTCCATATATCTTGATAAAATCTGATAACTAAATAATAATATAAAAAAATTTTAAATTACAAATATTTTTTAATAAAATTTTAATGTTTTTTTTTATATATTTTAATTTTTATTATATTTTATACAAACCAAGTTTTGATTATTTTTTTGATTATTTTTTTTTTTAAAATTTAAAATTTTAGGTTAATATAAATATTTAATTTTAATTTTAGGATATATATTATTAATTCTTTTCTTTTAAACTAAAAAAAAAGAAATTAAATATATTTTAAAAAAAAAAAACAATATTTTAAATTACAAACCCTCTCTTCATTCATTGATTCGGTTAAACCTTTTAACATTAATATATTAGAAGGCTCATTATCTTTTTTCCTATTTGATTGTTTATTCCACTTTTTGTTATATTTGTTGTTATTGTTACTGTAGCTGATATTACTGTAATCCCTTTTTCTAAATCTCTCTCTTGATCTACTTCTACTTCTACTATAACTACGACTTCTACTTTCACTATAGTCTCTGTCTATACTACGACTTTTACTTCTGCTTCTACTTCTACTTCTGCTTCTACTTTTATTATATCTACCCTCTCTCTCTTTGGATCTACCCCTACTATTATTATTACTACTATTATTGTCTACAGGTTCAACATATAAACCTTCATCATCATCCTCTATATTATTATTATTATTATTTATTTTATTATCCATTATAAAAAAAAAAAAGAAAAAAAAGAAAAAAAGAAACTATAGTTTTAAAAAAAAAAAATGAAAAAAAAAAAACACACAACAAAACAAAACAAAAAAAAAAAATAAAAATAAAAATAAAAAATAAAAAATAAAAATAAAAAAAATAATAATTTTAAAAAATTAAATTTTTAAAATTTTTAGGATTTTTTTTTTATTTTTTATACACACATATTTTTCAATTATAATTATAAGATTTATTAACAATAAAAACAATAATAACAACAATAATTAGAAATATATTATATGAGTTTAGATTACAACATTGGTTTAGGATATATATATTCAAAAACTATGTCAAATTTTGAAAGTAGTTCAACCTTGACTTATCAAAAAAAAAGAAGTTTATTTGATGCAATATACCAAAAACTATTAGTTAACGGCTCACCACCGCTAAATGGTGATAATAATACCTCCGGTGTAAATATAAGGAAAAAAAGTAACCATTTCATTATTTTTATAAAGTGTCTAAAATATAATAATTAAAACTAATTATCATAATAAATTACTATAGAACTAGGTACATCAAAATCAAGCTCAATACCAGTTGATTTAACACATTTATATACGTTTCAAATTTTTCAAGGAGCGCAACTATCGGTATGGCATGATACAGCAGGACCTGTAGTAGAACAATTATGGAAATATAAAGATATCGGATCAGATTTTCAAGCATTTATAGCACGTCAAACTCTTTGTGGTTTAGATCCAAAGAACACTGCTGATGAAATTAGATTTAATATTTATCCAGATCAAGGCTTCATGGTACTTTCACACATTTTCAACTCTAAATATAATGACTCTTTAACAAAATTTGCGCTCTCTGTATTTTTATCAATAACCAACTTTAATGAATATCTACCAATACACGATATAATAGTTGATAGGGTAACATGTCTATCATGTAAACTTTTAAAAAACTATTCATTAAATGTAAGTAATAATTATATAGATTTATTTGTTATTATTATTATTATTATATTAACTATAACATGACCAACCCAAAACTAAACACATTAAAAGATAACAGATCATTTAGAATTATTTACAAAAGAATTAGTATTGACAATGATAAATGTTGAACAATTATTTTTATCGGGATATCCATCAATTAATATTTCATCTACATGTTTTAATGAACCAAAGATAGATCAAGAATTTTTAGTTCGTGCATTAACATCACACTTTCAAACCTATGGATCCACTATTGTAATCGGTAGCAATCCAGAGACAGTATTGATGTGGATGGATACAATATCACTATTCCTAACACCAAAAGAAAGAAAACTAGCATCACGTAATTTAAAT